CCTTTTAGTCTAAAAACAAATGTGTGATGTCATGGCTACCATTAGATTGAGCCAATATTTTAAAATCTTGCTTCAGTTTTTTTTCCCCAGATGCCTTGAAATAATGGCATCTGTAACTATACTTATCTAAAAATTCATATCGTCACTTTTTAAATCAGTCCCCAAAAACAGGAGTGAATAGATTTGATAAGCTAAAGTAACAACTCAGGACTTTGTAAACCATCAAATTGTACTTCTAAAACATATTGACTACCCTAGTAGAGGTCTGGGTACTCTATTAGAATTCAGTCTCCAGTCAAAAAACCCAATGGGCCTGGACACAAAGTTATGAGACCATGTTTATATCTTAATGTTCAGGTCATTATATTGCCAGGGCCCCCATGGTAACTCCCCTTTCAAAAAAAAGGGGCTACTCCTGTACAAAGGCTTTGTTGCAGCAACTGAAGTTCAAATATAAACTGGCTGACCTCCAATACATCACCTTTATACAGCTGTTACAACTAAAGCAAATGACACCCCAGAAAATAAATGCCATGTTGTAGTACCATTTTTAGCAGCAGACAAGCACAAGAATAGACATGGAACATGGATGTCAAATTGCAATTTTGGGTCCCCCCCTAAATGTTTACCGTTATATGGAATACTTTGGCTAATTAGGAAACAATTGTTAATTGTTTTTAGCTGTGAGCAGGTCATCAGTTTTCCTTGTGTATTGCAACATTAAAAAGCAAACAAATAAAAATTTGAATCATTTATTATCTCTTTGAGTCCATTGTTTCAGAAAGGTCAGATTCTGTTGCAGTGGTGTTGGACAGTGGGGGCACAGCCACATTAACCGCAGCAGTTTGGAAGACTTCATCGAGCGCCGCTGTGTCGGTACTGTTCAGCACTACTGCCTTCAACTGCAGGTGGGCCTCAGGAGAGGTTTCTTCTAGAAGTTCAGGAACTTCCTCAGCATCTTCATCTGTAGTTGCAGAATAAATGTGTTAATGTAAAAGGTGCATTGTGGAGTGTCATTTAAAAAAAGGGTTAAGACTATTCACATTTTACCTTTTTCAGTTCCACTTGTGTCTTCATTCTGCTCAGAAGCTAAAATCAGAAAGTCCACCTGGTTTTGGGTCGATGATGAATCAGGAAGCCGTCCTTTCCACTGATCTTTGACAGAAAAACAATTTAACATTAAGATTTCATTATGGGCCATTTTAATCTCAATTTAGAGATTGTTAAAGGCTTCAAATGAACAGAGAATAATTCAATACCGGTATTGACTTACCAACTCCGTTTATTCCACTCCTCCACTGGCTGCCCTACATTGTAGATCTGCCGATTTGATCAAGAATGGAAGAACGCTCCTCTGCAGGTATGGGCCGGCTTTTCTGCTTGGTTGGCAAGACCATCATCGGACCCACTCTGGCCTGATGTTCCCACACTAACACAAACCAGCACAATGCATGTTAATTCAGTTACCCAGCCATCATCACGTCTAAAACCTATGCAAAAACATGCGTCACAAACAATTAATCATTAAGACGACATCTGCAGCCAATATTCATCATACAAGTTTCTCCAAGCTCCCCACCTGTACTGGTCTTCAGTCCGCTCCTCCAGAGGGGTTCACGCTCTTCTGGCTTCACAAACCCTCGAGGCCTAAACTTGCTCGGGCTGCTGGGCTTACTGGGAGTTTGCTCAACTCCAATTGGTCTTTTGCATTGCCCACATAAGTAGTCATTACCATCAGCGGACCTCCATCTGATGAATAAAAAAAAAACATTCAGCATCAATACTTTGTTTTTTGTGTGTAATTTGAAATATTTTAGGCTGGATCTCACTTGCCTTCCATTCACAAAAGTGCACGCCTTGTTTGGTGCATCTGCGTTATTTATTGCCACAGCATTCAGGTGACATGTGATGTAGAGCTATGAGAAAAGCAGGTGTTAGGAAACATGCACACACAATCATGTTTAAGGCAATTGAATAGAGCCTCACCTCCCCTCTGTCTTCATTAAAAAATCTGAAGGCATCAATGGACATGTGGAGCTTGTCATCCTGTGTCCTGGCTAAGAATTGAGACCTTGAGCCTGGAAGCTGAGAGTCAACAAAGCACCTATGAGGAAAAACAAAAAGAGCAACACTAAATTAGCACTCATTGACTACTATAACCAGAGTCTACATTACCCACAATGCACCACTAACATTTCTAGTCATATAGGCAAGTTCTGGAAGTAGTTATTTAGAGTCAAAACTGCACAAATCTGACCTGTGCATTTGCCAATAGTGGTACAGAAAGGAAGAACTAGAATACCAAAGATTAAAAGCAAACTGCAGCTAGCCTTAGCTAATGGCTAACTTGAAGACGCCACTAAAGGACTGATCTTTTATTAACCGGTCACTCGAGTCAGCATTGCTCGTGTCTGAATTAAACCACTTGAAGAGCCTTACACATTAAACAGCTCCCTCTAGGGTCAGAAAAAGACTTTCCTTTTTGCCATTTAGCAATTTGCAGCCTTACCCATTTTCAATGAAGGCATGCCTGGGGCTGGAGTGCATGTCAGGGCTCAGTGTAGCCACGCAGCTGCTCACAAACACTCGGAGCCCCATGTGATGCCCAAGTCTGACCGAGGCCTCGATGCTGATGGGCTCACCGAGATGAAACACATGAGAGCTTCTTTTGTACTGCCAGTCACCTGCACACGGACAGAAAAAAGTACTAAGTGCAAATAGAGACATGACAACTCATAACATGAGAAAATTACCAAAACCCACTTGTCATGATTCTCAAGTTAAACTCAAACATTTCCACTGCAGCCTGGGTCGACATGAAGGGGATCCAGGTAGGCATGAGTGAAGAACTGGACAAACTGTACTTCCTAAGAAACAGAAAACATGCATTTAAAAAAAAAAGACAGACATCATAAAAAGATTTTTACAATGTGAGCTTTAAAAACTAAAACCTTTCGTAATGACATTCAAGTGGAATTACAGCCTCCTCCATTCGAACAACACCATATGGAGAAGCCTCAGGAGAGTATATGAGGAGGTTTGTGTAGATCAGAGAGTCCTCAGTTACCTGTGGAGAGTAGACGTGTTTAAAACTAGAAGCTATAATGAATCATATTTGAAATGAAATATATTTAAAAAGTTACCCAGTGTCTGGTGCCGCACTCCACAAGTCCAACACTGATACTGTACTCATCTGCTGAAGACGCTGTAGCTCTGCAGTACTGGTTGTTGTTCTCTACTCCAAGGCGTATCTCGTCTCCATCAACAGGAACTCCAACCGCAAACATGTCGGCTTTGATAACAATCTCCAAAGAGTCTGGATGACAGGTCACTCTGATGGTATTCACCTGCTGCGGTTCCTCAGCCGGAGACTTCTGCTGCCCGAGTTCTGACCTGCCTGTGTTCGCAAGGCTCTGGAATGAAGCATCGTGTGTGGGCGGGAAAGCAAAAGAGGAGCTAACACAGAGTCCTACAAGGAGGACAACCTGAAAATGAAAGGCCTCCATAAGTGAAACTGATGGCAGGAAACTGGTCGGCTGCTCTCTGTCTTCCTGACTGACTCACAGTATGGTTCAGTGTGAGCGGTGGAGCTTTTTAAACTCTCGCCGATCATTATCCTCATCAGAGCAGCACACCTGCGTCCAATCAGACACCCATCAGCTTAATTGGCTGCACACTCTGAACTCAAGACATGAGGCTGATTGAGAGAGAGGGCGTTTTCACATAAATACAATTTGATCTACAGTATATGTTTGAAACATAAGACATGTCATGTAAAAATCAATCCATGCAGTTCAAACTAAGAAAGTATTGAAAATGCCTCCAAATACTTAAAATCATCCCAACTAATTTAAAATGACTTACAACATATAAAGTTCAAAACTATAATCTTAATTATCCATTTCAGAGGTTCACCCTGTACTGTTGCCTAAATATTTCATTTTAGATTGATCAATTTTGTTTTTTCCGGTCATACTTTTTAGTTATTTTTGGTCCAGAGGGCCGTTATTGGAGATGTTAGAGATGAAAGGGGGAGACAGAGGGGAGGACAGAAATGTTCGGCTGGTTCGGGATTCAAACTGGTTTACTAGGCAGCGGTGACTGCATATGGGCTGCCAGCTCTAACCACTGACATATCGGGCGAACCCATTCTTATCAAGGGTTATTGACCTAACCTCTTTCACTCTTTCCTATTATTATCTCCTTTATATTTGGACACATTGTATTGTCTTGTATGTGAATAGCACTTTTTTTGAAAAAAAAAAAAGCTTTAAAAATATATATTTATTATTATTTATGAGAGCTTCTGAATCGGACTGTGCCGGCGTACATGTTTACAGGACAATAACTTCTAATATATATCCACCCCTTTGCTGCTGATGACTCTCCTCCTGACCTGCACTTTCACACTCATCTTGCAGACACCAGACATATCCGGTGATACATCATGAAAGTGATATCATATCTTCTTTTCTCACTTGATAATATCAATAACAGGATCGCTATAAGAAGACTTACTAGGATACTATAAAAAAGTGTTATATATAAAGTACTTCGTGGGGAGAAATGTTTATATTTCTAACAAATACTGAGAACAACTTTTTGAGAAGGGTTTGTTTGCGTAACTGTACACATTAGTGGTGTTAATCCAGTAGATACAAGTTTTAAAGTCTGATGCATAACATCCTGAGTTTTATTTCAAATTCAGTTAAACATCAGTGTGTGCAAAACCAACTGCAGCGTTTCAACGGCTGTTCTTGCTTTGATTTCCCCTTCCTGCTCAGAGGTGAAGAACAATAAATAAAGTGAGGCTGTCCACAAAACCTCACAAAGACTGAAGGAAAGAGTACAATGTGAGTCAGCTTTAGTATTTATTAGTGAGTTCATAACTGAAAAGGCCATGAAGACGAGCTTGGCATGCATTCTTATTTTCATTCAGCTTTTTGAAGGCAAGAGAAATTCACATTTTATTTTCCTCTTTCAAACACTGATACGTGTCTGGATTGTTATGCTTCGCCTATTTGTATGGCAAAACCATCAAAGGGCCCAGAGTAACAGTTTCACATGCCACCAAATCTGAAACATGAATAAAAATGAAAGTGAGAGTCAAATCATATTTAGTTGGGACAGTTTTCACAGACAGATCACAGATTATGAAAGTTATACAACTGTAGGATTTACAGTTTACCTTCAGGGATCAGACTTCCGAGGTTTGTTTGACCGGTGGGAGAGTTGCTGGAGCATGTATCGTCGCAACATCGACACACATCATCACTGCCATCGACATTTATCCATCTGATGATTAGTATACAGAATTAATCATTGTTTTCCTTTAGCTTTGAGTTGAGGGCATTTACACCCAAATCCAATGTTGAAATAATAGCCATTTATTTGTATACATATACTCCATGGGCAGCGTCAACATTATAAAATATTCTTAAAGCTTACATTTAGCACATTCCTCTCACATGTGTACTGTTTCAGTCCAAATGCTGAGGTAAGCATCGCTGTTACATTGATCTGGCTGTACAGAGACAGCATGGAAAATTCATTTTAGAAAGTATTTACACTTATATTTACAGCAAACGTTAGACCTCATTACAAATATATGTTTCCTTAATTAAGTAACTTGATTACTTAAAGAGGACCTATCATGCAAAATGCACTTTTGTACGTCTTTTATACATGAATATGTGTCCCCGGTGTTCCAGGGAACTCACCAAGTGTCAGAAAACACAACCCTCTCTATTTTCCTCCATACCCAAATCTCTAAAAAAGGGGCTGCAACGGATCTGATAAAAACTGATCCAGATTTGAACACTTTACTGACGTCAGGAAAGTGGCGCTACGGCTATTGGGCCAACTCTCCACCTATCAGGGGAATGTGGGGTTGGGCCACGGCCGGCCACTCGAAAGCGCTGGAGACGCTGTAGTACATATGCCAGGCCTGTAAGTGGCGCTGTAGTCTGCCACAAAAGCAGCGAAGAAGACTTCCCGCGCATGGTTACCCTTCTGTTTATTCTCCGCTGTGGCTTTTTTTCTCTCTCCCCGAGGCAAGCGTTTGCTCTCGCTGCTTTAATTCAATGCAATCCCTCCCCGTCGAGGCAAGCACTGTAATTCTCTCCGGTTAGTCCACCAGCAGATGACAAACACCCACCTCTCCGCCTCGTCCAAGGAACGAGGGGACCATGCGGCAGAGTTTCAGTTTCAGTTTCTTTCGCAGGTCAAGATGTCCGTTAAAGTTTAAATCTTCCGGACAAAATTAGAAAAGTGCCGGTCAAAGGTCTTCTTTGTTATTTATTGAGCTTTAAAACAAATGAATAACGACTCTATAGGCCTATAATAATATAATAAAACACGGAGGACGGAGGTCTATTTTTCTCCCCCTCTTCTGACTTCATCAGAGCACAGCTCCCCTCTCCTGCAGGGGGGCGTGGTCAGCTGCAGCTCACAGAATCAGCCCCCTGCAAAAACAGTGCTGGAGAACAGCAAATAGAGCGAAATGAGGCATGGCTAAAATGCATGATCTGTTTGGTATTTTGAAAACAGAAACGTATAAATATACCTTATATAGGTATGGCCCTACAATATATCATTTAAATATAGCATGATAGGTCCACTTTAAGTAGCAAGAAATATTAATAGCAACAATTTGAACCAGTTTTAGCTTATAAAGAATTGTTAACATGATGAGCCTTTGTAAATGATACACTGACAAACCTTTTGCAATATTACAGTAAGGAGCAACAATTCACAAAATAAGTAATAAAAGTACCTTGAATTTATATAATTGCAGGCCTTGTTGACGGGGCTGCTCTTCCGCATTTCAGAGGTCGCTTTCAGCTGGCAAGTGATACAAATCTAATAAGTTCAAATGCTGCTGTTGTTGAAGAAGCAGCGACTCACTGCTGCTGCTGAAGATATATTTGCTTTGTTTGAAAAAACGATAGCAGAGTACGAGGAGGAGCTGTCTCTTTCCAAAGAGGAGAACAAGAGACTCCAGAAACTACTGGACGCTGTTTAAGAGAGACCAAAGAAATGTCATTATACAACTTCGAAGCATTTCCAAACATGACAAAATCATTCAGGTTATAGAAGTGGCTCACTGAGTTCCTTGTGTCCTGGGGAAACAGGAAGGCATCGAGCTGCAGCTGAAGAGAAGAAGATCTTGTTCTGGGATTGACAAGTGCATTTGATCCGTCCTCTTTGGCATCATTGAAGCACCTGACGAAACAAATTAAATTTGAATGCAATTTAAGAGCCAATTATCAGTATCATACTGTATTCTGAGCTTCTCTTACCCATGGTTTTCGATAAAGTAGTATCTGGGGACTGATCTCGGGTCAGGAGACAAAGCGGCGACACAGCCGTCGATAAACAGGCGTCTGTGTCCCGCATCAGGACTGCTGTAAGAGGCCTCGAGGGGCAGGAGGTCTCCAGTGTAGAAGACACTGGTGAGCGTCTCTCCTGTCCAGTCCTCTACAATTAAACACAAGTGTCACTTACCGTAATTAATTTTTCTAATTAAAATGGTGGTCGCATTTAAGAAAAGCAAAACATCCATTGACAATGTCTTACAAAACTTGTGCAGGAAAATCAAAGACCCATTTATCCAGTAGTGTAGTCTACTAAAAAAAAAATACTACACTGTTTATGTTTTATTTGAGAATTCAACGTAAGGAATTAATGTACACATTGTCTTTAGTGGGCGATTCCTTTAAAAAGATACATAAATGATATATTTAAAAAAAACTCCAGTTCTCCAACATGCCTGGAAATTGAGAGGGGAGGGGTTTTCTGTTAAAATCTGCAACATCACTGCTCGATGCCACTATATCCTACACGCTGGTCCTTGAGGTAAAGCGTGTGACTACTTCATCCACCACATACTACATGCACACTTAAAAAAAAACCTTCAATGAAACACTGAATAGGTCTCACATACCGGTCATCAGCTTTAGAGAGAAAGCACCTGTTGAATACACAGCAGGAAGAGAGAGGGGCTGCTGCTGCGAGTGACTGCCATCAAACTTTGTCCTGTCCCGGAAAGGTAACAAAGTCAGTCGAGAAGAAGAAGTCACAAAAAAGATTCTCTGCACAACACAATAAAAACATATCACCTCTTATAGTGACAGGAAACAGGAATAACAGCATGGGTCGTTCTTTTAATGCCATGTTGCCCGGCAGCTAGTGTTGTAGCAAACACCTTGGTGGTGGCTTTAAAGCCCCCCCCCTCCGCTACGCGCCGTTCGTTAGATGAGGTTGGTTCTATTTAATAAAGAAAGGAATTCAAAACACCGGAATTAAAGGTTATAACAATAATCTGATTTTACTGGTAAGAAACAAAACACGTATACAAGTTTTACAGAGTACTCCGGACTTCAGGTTTCTACTGCTGTGCGATACAGGTATCGGGACCAGCCAGTCAGCAAACAAGAAGCATTTTACATGCATAAACAACAGTATTCATATTCATATTTTGGGGCGGAGATGTGTTGACTTCTTCCTTCCCATTTTACTCCGAAGCGAATCAGAGAGGCCGTGGGGAGGAGCTGTGTGAGCTGCTCACTCCCCCAGGTGTTTTTACTGGTTGGATTCACTTCTGGTCGGGTCCAACACAGCGAATCAGAGCTCTGAGAAAAAGTATGTTTTCTTCTGAGATTCGGAAGTTCACAACGGCAGAGTCAATCTTATCTCTGCACCAATATTCACTCCCTTACTTTCCCATGGAATATTTCACACAAACTATTCTTTCCCAGACAACCAAACATTGTGCACAAATATAATGATGCCCAGAAAGAACCTTGAAAAGAATATGTGTGTGTGTGCTGGTGGGAGGAGGTGTATGTGTGTGTAACAGGATCTCTGGGTCAGTGAGTTGTAAGTGAGAATACAATATGTATACATGTGATTACTTAAAACAGTTCAAACAATACATGTTCACTAAAATACAATTCAAAATAATACATGTTTACTTCAATACAGTTTAGAACCATATCTGTTTACTTCAATCCCTCTTTTGATCTCACCTCACGAGATCAACATATAGCATTTGAAACATAACCATTGTCATTCTTTTCTACTGTGTCTGTCCCAACATTTATATAAATCCATCAGAAGCTGGGATTTAGAGCACTTTAAACCTGTAGGAACAGTCCACTACAACAACTTCTTATGACAGTGGAGGGAGACTAAAATATGTTTAAAAAAGTTCGTCCTTGTCGGCTGAGTCATCGTACTCTTCCCCCTCCGATGCATAAGCCAACAAGGGCATTTGGTACGAAGGGGAAGGGGCAGCTTTTCCCTCAATGGTGGAACTGATGAGTCTAACAGACAATGAGCGGATACAAGGCACACAACAACAACCACATGTCACTAAAATGGCAATAAAAGTAGCCACAGAAATTAGAAGACTGTTGGGGTGAGGCAGACATATTTAGCGAGACCTGAGTATGATTTGTCAGAGTTGGAACATGGGGCGATTGCGCACAGATCTATGTCCACTATTCCGTCGCTACCTTCTTGGAGAGTGAAGGTTCTTTTTGGGGACATAAGGCTCGCTACTCTAGTCCCTCTTTTGGTCCTTACTATCTCTTCCTCTGGGGCGAGAGTTGGAGAAAGAACATCATTAGTTTTACAAACAATGAAAATTATCGTTACCATAATGGTAAGTAGGAGGCCCAGGCCTGCTACCATTCTCCAGTGCCCGTACATAATTATGCTGTTAGCTCCAATTCTTCTGGTATCTTTAAACCGTATATTACCAATGGTCAATGCGATCGTACCTTGGTTTCCCAGAATACAAAACGTGCCCCCTGAGGGAGATTGAGACCCAGATATGCCAAAACCCTCTTGAGTACGAGGAGTATTTAAATAGACATCTACCCTCGTCCAGATGTTGAGTAATGATAAAAGGGCCTATTTGGAAAGTAAAACAGGAGTTACTCCCAACTTGGTTAGTGATTGATTTTAAGCGATAGGTTTTTAATGGTAAATGTGGGTCCCCACATATGTCAGTAGTCTGCCCCAAAAGAACCCTTCAACATTTCCTGGAACCTTTAACACATAGTTCTGTAGAATAAAAATAAACAAATCCCTTAAACAATGGGCAAAAAATATGCAAATCCCTTAAACAATGGGATATAAAAACAAAGTTCAGAGTTCCTCAAAAAATGGATTGTTAAAACAAAGTTCCACACCGGCTATATCAACCTGTTTCAGCGGGAAGTGGAGTTCCCTGTGCCGTCTTGGTTTGCCGTGTATTTGTCCCCCCAGCCCGATGACGGCGGCTTCTGGGCTGCCTGCTAGAGAGATGTCTTCTGGATTCTCCTCCTCCGGCCCGCTGATGGCGGCTTCTGGGTCGATGCTGGAGAGATGTCCCGATCCTCCTCCTCCGGCCCGCTGATGGCGGCTTCCGGGTCGATGCTGGAGAGATGTCCCGATCCTCCTCCTCCGGCCCGCTGATGGCGGCTTCCGGGTCGATGCTGGAGAGATGTCCCGATCCTCCTCCTCCAGCCCGCTGATGGCGGCTTCCGGGTCGATGCTGGAGAGATGTCCCGATCCTCCTCCTCCGGTCCGCTGATGGCACCTCCTGGGTCGACTTCCTTGACGAGGGCCAGATCTGTCCTGATGTCGTCTAGGGTCCTCGCAGGTGTTTTCCCGACCGCACACTGGCTCCAGTGGTACCAGTTGTCTCCCTTTCCTTCTAGGCGGACGGCATGGGAGGTCCTTTGGGTCACTCGGTAGGGGCCGGAAAACCTGGGGTTGAGTCACTTAGGCCTGATGACTCTCAGCCAGACGAACTCTGCTGTGTTGGCCTCGTGTTTCTCGGGTCCCCCTTTGGCATCAGCAACCTGTGTGGAGAAGTCTCATACCAAGCCCTTAAGTTGCTGGAAATATGGTTTTGAACTCATCTCTTCTACTTCTTTAGTGTTTATTGGGGGTTGGCAAACCAACTTGTAGGTGCATTACCGCCACCAACTAGACTGGAGTGTGGACAAAAGACTATGCAGAAAACAATAAACAAAAGAAATAAAACAAAACCGAACAAAAAAGAAACAAACAAAACAAAACAAAACAAAAAAGAACCAAAACTAGATTATTTTAAATTTATCAATTTCTCTTAAAAACGTAATAATCTCACATACATATTGCCTGATCTACATCCCCCCTTTTTCTGAAATAGAATGCCGTTAACGGTGTTCTCATTTTCAGAAATATCGAGCCTTATATATCAGTTATATATTATATATTATTATTACTTATATATCATATGTCCAGCAGATGGAGCCAAATCTTAATTTACCATTAGTCTCTGTTTGTTTTGTGCCACACCCTATTGGCCACCAGATGGTAGCACCTGACCAGTTGCTCGCGGAAGCTTCCGGAAATTGGAACGCTAATCATTTTTTTCAAAATCTCCTTCCATGATTGACCTCGTTTATATTATCTGACTATGTTGATATGTGTTTGTTTGTATTTATTTAATATACTGGACAATTCTTGTCAAATATTGTTACACACCCTGTTCGCCACCAGAGGGCAGCAGCTGACCACGAATGAGCTTCCCCTCTCTGGTGGAGCTCCGCACACTCGCCCACACAACTTTCCTATCTATGCTTTTCTCTCAATTATTACACAGATTTGACTTAAAAAATCACACAGAGTTTATTCCCTTATACAGACTTCGTACTATATGAATTCTATCTCCGTGTACTACTTCTTTTCTAAGTATGTACTGTGTACAGAGTGGTGTTCTTAAATTATGTTTGCAGTTTTACACACATTTTATCCCCATACAGTCAGGCAGATTTTTATTGTGCGATGTATATTTCAACAGATAGCGTGACTTCCTGAAGCAAGCTTCTACAACCCCCTTACGGCGATTGCGGCTTCAGGCAAGGAGTCGGAACCCAGTCAACAAAATCTCTTTATCGTCACGTTTAATGAGCCTGATTAACCCCACAGCAAGAGTTGTGATGAGATTCGGTCGTTCCAAATGGTTAGTTGGAGGTCGCGTCTCTCTCCTCTCGTATCACCCACAATATAACAATTCTAGCAATTTTCAAAGAGGGATTGCCCATTCGATTGTTATTCAATAGGAAGTTCTTTATAACAACCTTTCATCTACGAGACAACCGCATAGTCTGTACTTGATTTACGGGGACTTTAACCCATCTGTTTTTTACGCCCTCGTAGTCTTCATTAAAGCACTAACAAGCCAACCGTATTAATCAATCTTTACTTGACTTACGGGGATTTTAACCCATCTGTTTTTTTACGTACTTGCAGTCTTTCTCTAGTGAGTTAAGGCACTACCCGCCTCTTACAAACACTTTGTGCCTTAGGTACAGGAATGCTCTACCTGACTCTAAGCACTTTCCCAACTAGAATATGTATTGTATTTCCTACCGTGACTAAGAACACTGAGAACGCCGCTGACAACTCTAAAATGTTGTAGTATAATCAATCACAGATTTTTGATAGTCAAAACAGGTGTCTGCTCACCTTTTGTATATCGTGCGCTTGGTGTAGTTGTCAACGGTATCTCGGTGTCCTCCCCTGGACTGAATTCCGTCCGCTGGCTGTCGGTGTTCCTTTCTAGAGATCAGCACTCATCACGTCGCAGGTCACCATTTGTTGTAGCAAACACCTTGGTGGTGGCTTTAAAGCCCCCCCCCTCCGCTACCCGCCGTTCGTTAGATGAGGCTGGTTCTAGTTAATAAAGAAAGGAATTCAAAACACCGGAATTAAAGGTTATAACAATAATCTGATTTTACTGGTAAGAAACAAAACACGTATACAAGTTTTACAGAGTACTCCGGACTTCAGGTTTCTACTGCTGTGCGATACAGGTATCGGGACCAGCCAGTCAGCAAACAGGAAGCATTTTACATGCATAAACAACAGTATTCATATTCATATTTTGGGGCGGAGATGTGTTGACTTCTTCCTTCCCATTTTACTCCGAAGCGAATCAGAGAGTCCGTGTGGAGGAGCTGTGTGAGCTGCTCACTCCCCCAGGTGTTTTTACTGGTTGGATTCACTTCTGGTCGGGTCCAACACAGCGAATCAGAGCTCTGAGAAAAAGTATGTTTTCTTCTGAGATTCGGAAGTTCACAACGGCAGAGTCAATCTTATCTCTGCACCGATATTCACTCCCTTACTTTCCCATGGCATATTTCACACAAACTATTCTTTCCCAGACAACCAAACATTGTGCACAGATATAATGATGCCCAGAAAGAACCTTGAAAAGAATATGTGTGTGTGTGCTGGTGGGAGGAGGTGTATGTGTGTGTAACAGGATCTCTGGGTTAGTGAGTTGTAAGTGAGAATACAATATGTATACATGTGATTACTTAAAACAGTTCAAACAATACATGTTCACTAAAATACAATTCAAAATAATACATGTTTACTTCAATACAGTTTAGAACCATATCTGTTTACTTCACTAGTAAGATTATCAGCTTGTTTGAGTAGATCACAGAGTCCTTAGATGTCTAGAGAATAAAAAATAACTAAAATCAGGGACACTTCTGAAAACACAACAAATCAAAACTACCACTTAAAGGTAGGGTAGGTAAGTTTGAGAAACCGGCTCGAGATCGCTAGAATTTGAAAATACACAACCGGAGAAAATCTGCCACTTCCTTATAGAGCCCCTCCTCCAACACACACGAACGCGCACATGACCAATGAGGGCACGAGATAAGTTTGTGCACAGATGAAAGGCTGACAGGCAGGTAGGCCATCCAGTTATTTTAGCCGGGCCGGCTAAAATGATTGGTCGTGCTTTTTACTAGAGATGTCCCGATCCGATCACGTGATCGGGGATCGGAGCCGATCACGTGATTTTCAAAAGATCGGAATCGGGAGAAAAAAATCGGGGATCGGATTTTTTTTTTTTTTTTTTTTTTTTTTTAATAATTTTTTTTAATAATTTTATTTAATGTTACAAAACAAAAATGACCATGTTCACATCTTAAAGTCATCCTGAGGCCTTAGTTTTGGTTTAAAATTACACAACATCATGTATGTGTTGCTTCTTTTGGGCTTGTTTTCATAGACCTGGTTGCTTATTTCTCTCAAATCTGGCAACAGAGTGGGCAGGGCGCAGTGTCTAATAGTAGCAGTAAGCTAACAAGAGGCTACGTTCAGCTGGTGCCTCGGGAGTCGGGACAGAGAAAATGTCAGGAGTTTGGAAGTATTATAAAATTGAAAGCGAAGGCAGTGTAACAGCCAGATGCAATGTTTGCAAGGCGGAGGTTCCGCGTGGTGGAAAGAACAGAGCTACGTTCAACACGACCAATCTAATACAAACACCAACAACAACACGACGAGTACACAGCGGCCACTCAGGTAACGGCACTGAAACAACCGACACTTTCAGAGACTTTTAAAAGGAAAGAGAAACTGCCCCAGAACAGTGAAAAGGCCAACAAAATAACAGCCAAGATAGCTGAATTCATCGCGTTGGATGACCAGTCGTTATCTGTTACCTTTTTTTTCTCTTAATGCATTGCATAAAGATCGGATCGGGAAAAAATCGGTATCGGCAGATTGTCAAAATCAAATGATCGGAATCGGATCGGGAGCAAAAAAAGGTGATCGGGACATCCCTACTTTTTACAGTATTACGGCTTCCACAGATGAAATGGATTTTTTGTCAAAGCACTTAAAGGAGAGGTGTCATGGCCATTTCCACTGATCATAATTCCATTGTTGAGGTATACTAAAATAGATTTATACTGTGCAATTTTCCAAACTCACATTGGTTTCGCATACAGCATGTCTGTAAAGTATGTGTATTCTGCAGTATTCACTCTCTCCACTAAACGGCTCGTTGGAGCTCTTGCCCCCCCCCCCCCCCCCCGTGAGCCTAGTGTGCTCCGATTGGTCAGCTTGGCCACTCTGTTCTGATTAGTCAACCACCAGAGAGGCTCCGCCCATGTCTAACAGTGCTTTTTTCGGCTCGCTCTCAGCGGAACAACAGTCTTATAATGGCCTCGGTACAGCCGTATATTTTATACACTAACTAACCGAACTGTACCTACAACTGTTGTTATAGAAGAGTAAGTTATTTTTACCTGTAATAACTGTTTGATGAGAAATCAAATCATGGTTTGCTATATATGAATGATATGTTATAGGAGCAAATCATTCAGGGAAGAAAGGATAGGCCTACTAAGTATTTCCATCAAACTTTATTTTTAGAAATGTACAAAATGAACATGCGTAAATATACATATATACACTGCATATCATCCATTCCTCCCCTTATAGGCGTTTTCGGCATCTTGCCTATCGAAGCTTTGTAAGCGGCTGCCGGGGCTTTTTAGGACGAGGCATCAGAGTGGGTCATCCCGTGTGTGTGTTGTCCGCCAGATACGCCTGGAGTTTCCTGATCTGGCTGGACGAAATCAAATGCAAATCACAAAATATTAGAGAAACGTAGTTGTTTTAGATTCGTTAGTAGTAGTTGTGGTAGGACTGTGTATCTATCTAATCAACACAGTTAGCTTGCCAGCTAATATGCTAACCTACGTTTGCTAGTTGTTCAGTGTAATATGCTATAGGCTACTATACTATACTATACTATACTATACTATGAACAACAGATAGTGGTTCATATTAGGCTATCAAGAACATGTTTACAATTGCAATCTTATACGGGTAGTCTGCTACATTCATTGTAGCTGGCATAACAACAATGTTTTCCCGAGCAAACTCATGTCTAGCTCCGTTGTTTAGCTCGGTAGCATACACGCTAGGAACGCCAGCTATAATGTAATTACGTTTCGCGACTGACCGTACGGTAAATCACCCGGAGTATACTGTCTATGAGTATTTCGTGTGTGAATTCAGACATTCTCTTGCTATGAGATACATGTATGTAAGGCCATCTGCTGATATTGGAGTTGATATATGGAAACGCTAGCAACTTAGTTAGCCCAGTTAGCACTGTGTCAATGGCTTAGCAGTCCGAAACACGTTTACACATTTAAACAGTCGCGGTAGATACCTTGTTTGATAAATACACAAATAACAATGCAAACTTACAGGTTGTGTACCCGAATCTTCCCCTGCTCCAAACGGTCCAAACAAACTAGGAATAGCATCGTCCTTCAGTTTCAAATGCTGTGCATATCCGGCCTCAAACTGGGCAATGTTTTGGAAGCTTTCGTCTGTGAAATGCCACGCACACAGTAACGTTCTTCGAACCTCTGAAGGAACAGTGTTAAACAGACATTTTTACCTGCATGTGATTGGCCCACACCTGACATGTGGGTTTACATCTAGAAGTTACACTGATGCTTCCTTCCTTATGCATCAATCAATGTTGAAATATTATATACTACAGTTAATGAAGAGCAATTTAAAATGCAGCCCCATTTTATTTTATTCAACATCATTCAGTTTAATTTTTTGCATGTAGGTTTTAATGTGGTATACGAGTACGATTCAGTTCCAGTCCACTGTAAAGTGAAACAAAAACTGACACATTTACAGCTTCACTGGTTTCTGGTTTTGAGTCCCAACAGGCACTTTGCTGCAGGGACCAACAAACATCCCAGGACGTTTCATCTTCCACACGGCCTTTTAGTCTAAAAACAAATGTGTGATGTCATGGCTACCATTAGATTGAGCCAATATTTTAAAATCTTGCTTCAGTTTTTTTCCCCAGATGCCTTGAAATAATGGCATCTGTAACTATACTTATCTAAAAATTCATATTGTCACTTTTTAAATCAGTCCCCAAAAACAGGAGTGAATAGATTTGATAAGCTAAAGTAACAACTCAGGACTTTGTAAACCATCAAATTGTACTTCTAAAACATATTGACTACCCTAGTAGAGGTCTGGGTACTCTATTAGAATTCAGTCTCCAGTCAAAAAACCCAATGGACCTGGACACAAAGTTATGAGACCATGTTTATATCTTAATGTTCAGGTCATTATATTGCCAGGGCCCCCATGGTAACTCCCCTTTCAAAAAAAAGGGGCTACTCCTGTACAAAGGCTTTGTTGCAGCAACTGAAGTTCAAATATAAACTGGCTGACCTCCAATACATCACCTTTATACAGCTGTTACAACTAAAGCAAATGACACCCCAGAAAATAAATGCCATGTTGTAGTACCATTTTTAGCATCAGACAAGCACAAGAAAAGACATGGAACATGGATGTCAAATTGCAATTTTGGGTCCCCCCCTAAATGTTTACCGTTATATGGAATACTTTAGCTAATTAGGAAACAATTGTTAATTGTTTTTAGCTGTGAGCAGGTCATCAGTTTTCCTTGTGTATTGCAACATTAAAAAGCAAACAAATAAAAATTTGAATCATTTATTATCTCTTTGAGTCCATTGTTTCAGAAAGGTCAGATTCTGTTGCAGTGGTGTTGGACAGTGGGGGCACAGCCACATTAACCGCAGCAGTTTGGAAGACTTCATCGAGCGCCGCTGTGTCGGTACTGTTCAGCACTACTGCCTTCAACTGCAGGTGGGCCTCAGGAGAGGTTTCTTCTAGAAGTTCAGGAATTTCCTCAGCATCTTCATCTGTAGTTGCAGAATAAATGTGTTAATGTAAAAGGTGCATTGTGGAGTGTCATTTAAAAAAAGGGTTAAGACTATTCACATTTTACCTTTTTCAGTTCCACTTTTGTCTTCATTCTGCTCAGAAGCTAAAATCAGAAAGTCCACCTGGTTTTGGGTCAATGATGAATCAGGAAGCAGTCCTTTCCTCTGATCTTTGACAGAAAAACAATTTAACATTAAGATTTCATTATGGGCCATTTTAATCTCCATTTAGAGATTGTTAAAGGCTTCAAATGAACAGAGAATAATTCAATACCGGTATTGACTTACCAACTCCGTTTATTCCACTCCTCCACTGGCTGCCATACATTGTAGATCTGCCGATTTGATCAAGAATGGAAGAACGCTCCTCTGCAGGTATGGGCCGGCTTTTCTGCTTGGTTGGCAAGACCATCATCGGACCCACTCTGGCCTGATGTTCCCACACTAACACAAACCAGCACAATGCATGTTAATTCAGTTACCCAGCCATCATCACGTCTAAAACCTATGCAAAAACATGCGTCACAAACAATTGATCATGACGACATCTGCAGCCAATATTCATCATACAAGTTTCTCCAAGCTCCCCACCTGGACTGGTCTTCAGTCCGCTCCTCCAGAGGGGTTCACGCTCTTCTGGCTTCACAAACCCTCGAGGCCTAAACTTGCTCGGGCTGCTGGGCTTACTGGGAGTTTGCTCAACTCCAATTGGTCTTTTGCATTGCCCACATAAGTAGTCATTACCATCAGCGGACCTCCATCTGATGAATAAAAAAAACATTCAGCATCAATACTTTGTTTTTTGTGTGTAATTTGAAATATTTTAGGCTGGATCTCACTTGCCTTCCATTCACAAAAGTGCACGCCTTGTTTGGTGCATCTGCGTTATTTATTGCCACAGCATTCAGGTGACATGTGATGTAGAGCTATGAGAAAAGCAGGTGTTGGGAAACATGCACACACAATCATGTTTAAGGCAATTGAATAGAGCCTCACCTCCCCTCTGTCCTCATTATAAAATCTGAAGGCATCAATGGACATGTGGAGCTTGTCATCCTGTGTCCTGGCTAAGAATTGAGACCTTGAGCCTGGAAGCTGAGAGTCAACAAAGCACCTATGAGGAAAAACAAAAAGAGCAACACTAAATTAGCACTCATTGACTACTATAACCAGAGTCTACATTACCCACAATGCACCACTAACATTTCTATCATATAGGAAAGTTCTGGAAGTAGTTATTTAGAGTCAGAACTGCACAAATCTGACCTGTGCATTTGCCAATAGTGGTACAGAAAGGAAGAACTAGAATACCAAAGATTAAAAGCAAACCACAGCTAGCCTTAGCTAATGGCTAACTTGAAGACGCAACTAAAGGACTGCTCTTTTATTAACCTGTCACTCGAGTCAGCATTGCTCGTGTCTGAATTAAACCACTTAAAGAGCCTTACACATTAAACAGCTCCCTCTAGGGTCAGAAAAAGACTTTCCTTTTTGCCATTTAATAATTTGCAGCCTTACCCATTTTCAATGAAGGCATGCCTGGGGCGAGAGTGCATGTCAGGGCTCAGTGTAGCCACGCAGCTGCTCACAAACACTCGGAGCCCCATGTGATGCCCAAGTCTGAACGAGGCCTCGATGCTGATGGGCTCACCGAGATGAAACACATTAGAGCTTCTTTTGTACTGCCAGTCACCTGCACACGGACAGAAAAAAGTACTAAGTGCAAATAGAGACATGACAACTCATAACATGAGAAAATTACCAAAACCCACTTGTCATGATTCTCAAGTTAAACTCCAACATTTCCACTGCAGCCTGGGTCGACATGAAGGGGATCCAGGAAGGCATGAGTGAAGAACTGGACAAACTGTACTTCCTAAGAAACAGAAAACATGCATTTAAAAAAAAGACAGACATCATAAAAAGATTTTTACAATGTGAGCTTTAAAAACTAAAACCTTTCGTAATGACATTCAAGTGGAATTACAGCCTCCTCCATTCGAACAACACCATATGGAGAGGCCTCAGGAGAGTATATGAGGAGGTTTGTGTAGATCAGAGAGTCCTCAGTTACCTGTGGAGAGTAGACGTGTTTAAAACTAGAAGCTATAATGAATCATATTTTAAATGAAATATATTTAAAAAAGTTACCCAGTGTCTGGTGCCGCACTCCACAAGTCCAACACTGATACTGTACTCATCTGCTGAAGACGCTGTAGCTCTGCAGTACTGGTTGTTGTTCTCTACTCCAAGGCGTATCTCGTCTCCATCAACAGGAACTCCAACCGCAAACATGTCGGCTTTGATAACAATCTCCAGAGAGTCTGGATGACAGGTCACTCTGATGGTATTCACCTGCTGCGGTTCCTCAGCCGGAGACTTCTGCTGCCCGAGTTCTGACCTGCCTGTGTTCGCAAGGCTCTGGAATGAAGCATCTTGTGTGTAACGTGTGGGCGTGAAAGCAAAAGAGGAGCTAACACAGAGTCCTACAAGGAGGATAACCTGAAAATGAAAGGCCTCCATAAGTGAAACTGATGACAGGAAACTGGTCGGCTGCTCTCTGTCTTCCTGACTGACTCACAGTATGGTTCAGTGTGAGCGGTGGAGCTTTTTAAACTCTAGCCGATCATTATCCTCATCAGAGCAGCACACCTGCGTCCAATCAGACACCCATCAGCTTAATTGGCTGCACACTCTGACCTCAAGACATGAGGCTGATGGAGAGAGAGGGTGTTTTCACATGTTTAAAATGTGCAAACATTTGTTTCATTGCTTGTTACTTTGGATTTTAAATAAAATGTTAGTGTTGCAGTTCATGAAAACCATGCAGGAAGCATTTTGACATCCCCCTGGATCCTTAATTTGTACACACTATCACATTATTATTGTGGTCTATGGTGTCATTTTATTATGTTTTTAAACTATCATTCATGTTTTGTTGATCTGTACTGACTGTAAATCAAATCAAATCAAATAAAAATGTAAAACTTGTGATTTTGAGCTACATAAATACAATTTGATCTAAATGTTTGAAACATAAGACATGTCATGTAAAAATCAATCCATGCAGTTCAAACAAAGAAAATATTGAAAAAACCTCCAAATACTTAAAATCATCCCAACTAATTTAAAATGACTTACAAAATATAAAGTTCAAAACTATATTCTTAATTATCCATCTCAGAGGTTCACCCTGTACTGTTGCCTAAATATTTTATGTTATTTTAGATTGATCCATTTTATTTTTCCGTTCATACTTTTTAGTTTGTTTTGGTCCAGAGGGCCGTTATTGGAGATGTTAGAGTTGAAAGGGGGAGACAGAGGGGAGGACATGCCAGAAATGTTCGGCTGGTTCAGGATTCAAACTGGTTTACTAGGCAGCGGTGACTGCAAATGGGCTGCCAGCTCTAACCACTGACATATCGGGCGAACCCATTCTTATCAAGGGTTATTGACCTACAGTAACCTCTTTCACTCTTTCCTATTATTATCTCCTTTATATTTGGACACGTTGTATTGTCTTGTATGTGAATAGCACTTTTTGTGGTGCGCTCAAAACACAACCTAAGCTTTAAAAATATATATTTATTATTATTTATGAGAGCTTCTGAATCGGACTGTGCCGGCGTACATGTTTACAGGACAATAACTTCTAATATATATCCACCCCTTTGCTGCTGATGACTCACCTCCTGCCCTGCACTTTCACACTCATCTTGCAGACACCAGACATATCCGGTGATACATCATGAAAGTGATATATCTTCTTTTCTCACTTGATAATATCACAACAGGATCGCTATAAGAAGACTTACTATGATACTATAAAAAAGTGTTATATATATATATAAAGTACTTCGTGGGGAGCTTTTTGAGAAGGGTTTGTTTGAGTAATTTGACACATTAGTGGCGTTAATCCAGTGGATAAGTCTGATTCAGTTCAGAAATTCAGTTAAACATCAGTGTGTGCAAAACCAACTGCAACGTTTCAACGGCTGTTCTTGCTTTGATTTCCCCTTCCTGCTCAGAGGTGAAGAACAATAAATAAAGTGAGGCTGTCCACAAAACCTCACAAAGACTGAAGGAAAGAGTACAATGTGAGTCAGCTTTGGTATTTGTCGGTGAGTTCATAACTGAAAAGGCCATGAAGACGAGCTTGGCATGCATTCTTATTTTCATTCAGCTTTTTGAAGGTAAGAGAAATTCACATTTTATTTTCCTCTTTCAAACACTGATACGTGTCTATCCTGACAGCAACATTTAATGTTCATTCAGTGTAATCTGTTTTTATTTACGGGGATGTTTCATCAGACCAGTTGTGTGGCTTTGTTTAGAGCCATGTTAGGTATTAACAGTAAAGACTAAACATCATTGTTTCTTTAATGTTTATGTTGTATAAACATTCCTTACTAAACAATCATTAAAATAATCGTTTTGCTAGTATTAAGCTATAAGTATTATGCTGAAGTTTGGTCAGGGAGGGTGAGATAGACACTTTTTTTTATGCTGCTATGGACAGTCTTGCACTAATGTACATTCTCAAAGATATTTAAGTGACTGTTATTTTGTATATATTGATTGTTGTGCTTTTATTTAGGTCTTAATGTGTGCATATGTATAAATGTGTCTTTTGATTGTGTGTATATATAGGTATATACATATTTTTATATATAATTGTTTTTGTATTCGGGATTGTGGGAAAGGGTATTTCGATCTCTCTGTCTGTACACACAAACTGAAAGATTGACAATAAAGTTACACAATAGTTTACAGCTTGATGTTTCCGGGTTTGTCTCTACCGGCTTTACTAGGGTAATGACCAAAATGATAACACGTTCTCATGAGGGGAAACATTACTATGCATACCAAATGTTATGGCAACACATCCAATCGCTTTTTAGAAATCACTCAAAATGATCTCTCATCATGGCACTGTATGAGAAGTAAAAGGTCACCAAAGTCTGTATGATTAATCCTCTGGGGACCATGAATTATATACATCATGGTAATACATCCAATAGTTGTCAAAGTGATGACCTGACCAACATTCATTACAGCTTCTATAATGACTATACTTATAACCTGTGTTCTAACAGTTGTTGCTCTCCTCCAGCCTCTGCAGAGTTGATCCTCCAGCAGCTGATGGAGAGCCAGTCTCTGGAGCTCTCCTGCTCCCCCCAGCTGGGGGCCGGCCGCCTGACGGGCCTCCACCTTTACCACCGCAGCGCCCACAGCCAGACCACCCTGCTGTCCCTGGCTGTGGGGGGGGAGCCCAGGGTCGCCCCGGGGCACAGGGGGCGTCTGCAGCTCCATGGAGGTCTGGAGTCCCCGCAGGTTAATGTGACCGTGTCCCAGTTACAGCGCAGCGACACTGGGCTCTACATGTGGGAGCTGAGCTACACTGAGGACAACAGGTCGGATCAGATCCTCCTCAGCGCCCATCATGTTTTCTTGTTGGTTGAAGGGACAGGTATGTGCATCAAACATCTCACGTGACACTCTTGCAGTTCATCTAAATCCCTCCGTGCAGATATGAATGTGTTTTGGTGTGTTTGTGATGCAGGAAGGTCATGCCAGTGCTCTCCCAGCTACCCTCCTCTGCTCTTCACCATCTTCACAGTAGCGGGGTTTCTTCTGCTCACAATCAGCTGGCTGGCCGTAGACAAATGTGTGAGTATTTACAGTTCAGCTTCACTGAGCAGGATACGGATTACACTTGAAAATGTATGAGGTTTTGTTGTGAAGCTACAATGCTCCTCTGTCATTTCCCTCCTAACGTCCAACAAATGTGCAAATGGACGCATTAGCTTTTAATACAGGAACAAATCAAAACTACTAAAACAGAAGGAGTCATATTAAGCTCAATAGCAATGTGTCAGCTTTAATAGAGAAAAACATTTACAGTTTTCAAGGAAATTTATGTAAAAAAGTATATCTCTTATAATTACTCTAAGTATTACTTACTGACAGACATATACTGCATGTAGTGGGAACTTGGTAACAAACTACAGCCTCAAAAATACCATCATGGTTGTATTAAAAAACAATATAGGCTTTACCTTATCAGAGATTTCTTTGCAATAAGAGTGTTCAATTGAATTTGTCCACTCCCTATATCATGTTATTTATGCGTTGCTGTCTAATGTACTGTATATAGCTTAGAACAGGGGTCTCCAATCCCCATCCAAGTACCGCTAATCATGACGTGAGATATAGTTGGATTTAATTGTTACATCCTGCCCAGATTGTTTTTTTTCCAATTTTCAGATTTTGGTTTTGCTCTAGTTGTTAGTTTTATAGGAATTATTTAGTCAATAAATATTAAATGGGCTTTTTATAAACCAAAAGAAAGGTTGACATGAAACACAGACGGTTCAAATTAAAACAAATGTGTTTAATGTCTTTGTACATCTGTAATGAGCAAATAGCTTTTAATTAATTATATAATTGTTGTGATTTATTTTAGGAACATTTTTGTTTCAGCTTTATAAATGGAAATATTTTAGGTTAATCCTAGCAAACAATACATTGGCAGTGACCCTGCAGTAACTCTGAGGACCCCCTGTTAAAGGACCCATGGACTTCAAGATTAATCAAGACAACTATTGTCAACTTAAGGCCTTCAGCATAATAACTCACTACAAAGAGTAAATTATGACGTGAAGATGAATTGATGTCTAATTAATAGTAAAGAATAATGTTATGTGTTGTAGGTGAAGGCGAGGTATCATCACAGACCACAACCTCCGGTTCCTATCTATGAGGAAATGACCAGGAAGCAGCAGAGCGCTGAAAATAACCCTGAGACGCCCTCACAGCGGGAGGAAGCAGACTACCCTGTGTACGCTAACCCAAACATCCGACAACCACAGGACAACTACTACGCCTGTCCCAGACAGCTCGCCCTCAGAGCGTGACTTCTGGCACTCATGGTGCAGCAACGATTCACAGGAAGTGACATCAGCTCTGTACCGCCTTTGATATGAGAGTGAGAGGCTTCTCCTCATCCAGGAAGTAAGAAAAGTCTCAGTTTGGTGGAACAGCGACAAACGACAAATAGGACGTTTTTAACAGCCAAGAAAAAAATGCTATTTTATTAATATTTGAAAGAAGCTCCATAGTTCATGAAAACATTTGTCTCGGTGCATGTCATTTAACAATCACATTCTATGAGGAGAAAGAGATATACAGAGAGAAAAAATAAAACATTACAAGCCACTGACTTTTCATTAAATCTCAGTACAGACATTTTTACTTAATATTTCAAAAAACAAAAACAAAAAAAGGCAAAAAAAAAATAAAGCAGCCCTAATCCCATATCCCCCACCCCACCCTAAAAAAAAAACTTTAAAACTGAGAAAACCCCTCGAGGGTGACAGGCTAGAATCCCACAGTGCTAAAGAGTGAGACGCTCATTGGTTTTAGGAATACACAGCATGGCGATGTAGCGCTAGGTCAATCTGAATCAGGGGAAGGAAGCTGGAGGTGGAGGGCTATACATGTGTCACCTCTCCACCCCCCCTCCACCCCCTTAAAAGACAAATACAAACACATTGGATCCCAAAAACCCCTGCAATAGATGAGCCACTTAAGAAGTAGGCCATAAAATCCCCATCTTCCAACCCCCCCCCCTCCCTCCCTCCCCCACAAACACTTGTGCATAGTTTCATGATCCTTTACAACCAGCTCATGTTTTACAAACATCCTCCAAAATGTGAAAAATGTTCCACAAAAGTCTGATTTATCTATTAATAATACCCGCTGTGGGAGAATGAGAGAAAGAGTAATGCACAATGTTCCTGCTTCAGTCAGGACGGGACCTCATTAAGGAAACACAATAAAGATTCAAACATACAGCATGTTGCATGTTATTCACGGTCTCTCCTTCTTCTTTTTTAACAATCAAAATTATTGACCTTTTTTCTTTTTAAATGTAAAGCAATTTAATATATAGATTTATATATAAAGCACTCCATTTTCATTTAAAGTCCATTATTTGGTTATTATGTAACTGCTACGGATTTAGAAACAAAAGGTATTTTTCTCTTCTTCTGAAATCCATAACTTTCAGTGCTTAGAATTGTTTCTTTTAAATTATCCTTTTTCATTTTATTTTATTCTTTTCATCATAAAAATGTACATTAAAATGGCGTGGAGTTGGTACTCTGGAACCCTGGCCTTCCTGAGACAAGATCCACTTTTTCGTGTGTGTGCAAGATAGTGAGCAATTATGTCTTTTTTTCTTTTCTTTTTTCTTATATAAAAGGAAAATATATATAATCAACATAAAACATACAGGCTTCAGATGAAACATTAACACAGAGAAGGTGAAACAGAACGAGACAACACTGTTCGATCCCAGAGTTCTGAAAGTAGCACAACAAATCTTCATTCTTTGAGGTGTTGCACTTTTCTAAAAATTGGAAGCATTTGTCCTTTTTTTTTCTTCTTTTTCCAACATTCCCATGGTTTGATTCCTTTGTGTGGCTGATTTTTTTTTTTTTTTTTTTTTTTGAACTCCAGAAAAAAACAAAGTGTTTGTAAACCGTCAGTGGCCTTGCAGGAAAAAACAAATGACAACATGAGTGAATTGAACATAAGTGATAACCGAACGAAAGCGAACAAACCAAAAAGGTAGGCACCTCTGAAGTGAGCCCTAGAAGCCAAGGCTCAGTCTGATGTCGCTCCTTCACTCTCTCCCTTGCTCAGATTTGGGAGAGCTGAAGTCCTTCTACCCCAATCTATGGCCACAGGTCTGCAAAATACTTTTTTTGCTGCATTTTTTATACATATGTGATTTTTTTTTTCTTTTCTTGTTTATTTTTGTAGGTTTATAGTCCAAAAAAATGGTGCAATACTCAATTATGATCCATACTTTCTTGGATTATTCCACAATGAAAGCCACTAAGGTAGATAAACATTACATTTTGAAAAACACACTTATTTTAGTCCTTGAGTAAACATTTACACATGAACTGTCCCCGTCTCCCCTCAGTACTTGTATCATGTTGTTCGTTTAGCTGGATGAGGGGTGAGGCCGACACTCAGTGCAACGCTAGAGGCTAGTAACAATTAACATCAGAATATATTTTTTGACAAGCAAAAAAAACAAAACAACAAAAGTATACTGAATTGAAAAGAAACACGAGGCGGAAATTCCTCCGCTGTAATCACGAGCTCTCACATATTTTCACCTCACACGCTAAACATTCATTCAACATACAGTACAAGCAGACTTGTGCAAACACTCAAATACGACAGACGTAAATTTGCCTTTATATCCATCTTTGTTTTAAACAACACTCGTATTTCAAATTTAATTCACTCTGAACCGATGCTATCAAAAATCTCTGAAGTGTATGAATGAGACAAAAAACCACTACAAAAAGTGTTCACATTACATTATTGGCGCTTCTTTTGATTCAAGTATTTGTTTTCATTATTTTTTATTACTCTGATATGTTTATGATCTTGTCTTCTGGGAAATATAATGTTGAGGAGGATACATAGGGCCAAAAGCCAGGGCGGGGTTGGGGGGGGGGCTTAGGCCAAATGGAAAACCGAGAGATCTAGCCATACACACACATACACCCATTATGTACTCATGGTTGTATTCTGTATACGGACTAGCATGTGCATATTCAACCCAGGCCTTGGTTTGTTTCTAAAAGAGTGATTTGCTAACTCAACTCTTTTTGGGGCCCCTGTCCCAGAGCCGTGTCTTATCAATGATTGAGAAGCATATTTTGCTTAAGCTCCAGTTGCCTTTGAGTCCTTGTGACTTTAAAAAAGGGAGCGCATCTGATTTACAACACTAGAACGGTAGATAAGAATGCAGGCGAGGGGGGTGGGAGGGGCTCTCAGTGCTGGTGCTGCGCCCAAAAGAAATCCAGGGCACATCTGAGACTGGACCTCCGTCCCTATGACCCGCCCCTCCCACTCTTTCCCACTCCCGACGCCAGTCCAAGATTCAAGTCCAGTGTGGAATAAATGCAGGTTTTAAGGAACAAACAAACACAGGCAATAGTGATTGTTTTCTTGAATGATGCGAGTCTAACGCGACTCTGGAAGAGGGCAAATCCCGTACGTTTTAAGACTTGGTACCAAACTTGAGGTGTGACCCTATTTCTGCCAAAACGTAAGGTCCCCAGAGCCGGATGAGCAGAGACGACCTGTTGTTTATTTGCTGGCACGACCTTCAGGGTTGGAGGTCCGAAACGAACCACCTGGATACAGCTTTCCCCGCACGAGGCCCGGAGATGGGGTCGGGCGGGGCGAGAAGGCGGCAGCTCGCAGAGCAACAGAAACGGGCCTCAGCCTCGGAGTGCACTGCTGAAAGACTTTCTTTGTAGTTTTTGCAAAAAAAACCTTGATGATAAAGAAAAATATGTTTTTGGTTTTTAAAAAGAGATGTACCCGATGTGACCCATAAACAGTGCACAGACACATACAGGACCCCCCCCCCCCCCCCCCCTTCCTCCTCCTCTTGCAGCCTGGTTCTCCTCTACATTTCTGAAATACAAGCACTATTTATCTCCCCCTACCTCTCAAGCCTTCTACAGCTGGAGCTCGTGGTGTACGCTCCTCGCTCTTAAGATACATTAGGAAATGGCAAGGTGGAAGTAGATATTTGCAGATCAGTTGGCACAAGACTGAAGAAGCGACTATACTTGCCAACCTCTAGTGCCAGCAGCGGGTTTTTTAGTGTCAACTACAAGCTCTGTCTACATTGTATCCAGGGGGGTGGGGGGGGGGGGGGTTCAAGGGAAGCTGCCTGGTAGTAATAAAGGTTGAGAGATAAGTGAAGATTGGCAGATTTTTGGGGGGGGGGGAGATGGCTGTGATTTGTCTAGATGGCTGTGAACGAACACCTCCTTGTCTTTGCATAGAAATGGAAGGCTGTAATCAGTTGAGGTGGTTCTAAGTGTAACTGAGTGCTCCCAGAGTTCAACATAAAGCACCAGTGTGAGTGAGGCCCATCGACACTAAAGGATGTGTGTGTTTATGGGACAACATAGAGAGGAGGCGCCCCAGGGTGCACACAGGAAGTTGGCTCAGTAAACTGGAGACCCTTTGACTGCACAATCTTTCCCACTTGATTAGACTCTTCAAATATCCCCCCCCCCCCCCCCCCACGTCTGTCGCACTCCACCCACCGGCCTTTCCTGCTGAGATCTGCAGTTTCGTACGGCCTCTACTCTACACACTGTGAGCCTGGGGGGCAGAGGGGGGGGGGGGGGCAGGAGAGAAGATGAACACTGCATAAAGACCAATATCAAAAAGCCATGATCAGAAAACAATCATTATCTATATCATCAATGATAACAGCAACAATATCAGCAAACTTCATGACAACAATCAAATAAAATGCACACTGGCAATTCCATAAGTGAAACCAGGAAAAAAAACACACGCCTCCATCTCTGGCTAAAGTGATCCTTGCAGGAGAGAGAGTGGAGCTGGAGGTTGCCGAGGACAGACTCTGGCGCAGCAGTAGTAATAAATTTAATACGGGTGGGCCAGTTTCTGAAAGAGCTGCTCTTGGCCTGGGGGCGGGGGGGGGGGGAAGAGGAGGGAAGCCAGTCTGTAGGGATCCGCAGGGAGGCAGCGAGCGAGAGGGAGGGAGGGGGAGGGGGGGTGAGGGCTGCTGCAGAAATCTGCACTCTGCAGCAGGCAGGCACTCGGTGGCCACACTATCACATAGGTTGGCAGAGCCTCCAATAGAAAAGAAGACGACAACAAAAAAGGACGAAGAAGATGGCGATCCCCCCCCCCCCTCCCCTCCCCTCCCCCCCTGGATCCAGTAGAACTGAAACACGTCGAGTGTTTCCAGACACCAAGGCTAAAGATTTCAAAGTATGCAATGTAACAGTGATATTCACTTTGATAAAGAGGGCGAGTGCTTTGGGGTCGTTCCCTGCTGCACCCAATCGTCTTTCTTTGTTTTTCCCTTCACTTTGCTACCATGTTTGACATCCTTCCTGGTCCCGCCGACTTGAGGGAAGAAGGATGAAAAAAAACAAAAAACAACTTCTTCACATCCATGTAAAGTTAAAAAATAAGTAAATAGAGAAGCCACTGAGCAGATTGCTTTTTTGTCCTTTTTTTCAGTTTTTATTTGCCAGTGTTGCTTCTCCTTTTTTCTATTCGTTGGCATTAAGGGTAAATGAGCTGCGACGCTCTTGCTAAGTGCTATGATCGACCGCCTATTCACAAATCGTTGCTTCAAACTTTTTATACCAACTCAAATTTGGGCAAAAAAAAAAAAAAAAAGGTCATCTGGTCTTCAGGGTAAAAAGGAAAACAGGCTCCTCTCATTTTGGTTTGACGCCTTCTTCCCAAGCATGCACACACAATCATACATACACAGAAAACACACAGCGGACACACACACACACACACACACACACACACACACACACACACACACCGGACACACACACCTGTCCCTCCCTCTCCCCCAAAACTATTCACTGGCATAAGTGTGGAGAGTAGGCTGGCTGGAGAAGTGCTTTGTGGGTACGTGTTTGAAGACCAGCTTGCTCCTCTCCCGAGCTCACACACTCTTATGGGGGGAGATGAAGGGTAGTAGTGGCAGTTTTAGGGTGGGGGGTGCAGGGCAGATTCAATCATTCCTTACAGTCTCCTCTCTTTCTGCGAGAGGCGTGGTAGGGTGCTTGGACGGTTAGAGTCGGTGGCTTATATTGCACGTCACTTGAAATGGTGGGAAACACCGGCGGGAAACATTTACGACTTGAGGTTTTCCACAACATCAGTTAGAGGGTCCGAGACCAAACTGTGAGTTTCCCGCAGATGAGTTGAGGTGCATTGAAGTGTTTGACTTTTCAGTTCCTTAGTAATAGCAGTGGTTCATATTTGTCGTCCATAACTGTACATCTGACGATCCCCAAGTCTCTCCCCTCTCGTCAGGTAAGATTGACAAACACAGTTGAATAATATCACTTCTTAGTTTTGCTTTGCAATGGTTTAAAAAGAAAAAACCCTACAAAAATAAATGGCTTGAACACGGCGTACAGAGTTGCATCATTCCCTTTGAGCCTTGTGTGGGGAAACTCAATCTGCTTGCGAAAATGCACTGAAGTTGTGAGCTGTGGTTGCTGACGTTGAGCCGCAGCAGCATGTACTCTCCACTCAGGTTTCACTGGCTCAGAAATAAGGGATGTGCAAGTGTCCGTATGCTTCTTCACCAAGTACAGAGTGAGTGAGGATAGCAGGGCAGGAAAGAGGTTAAGGCTAATATTAGTGCTGAGAGAAACAAATGTTGCGTCTTGACCAGCTGAAAGTTCGACAACCACTCTGATTGAAGGGTTTTACTTTGGGAATGATGCCTTTTCATGGATCTCTGAGGTGCAGTATGATTGCCTGAAAAGGCAGAGAGGGATTACGCAAGTTTAAAGGTGGCAGCTCGTCGTGTCAGTTTCAACTAAAGTACATGTTTCACACGGCGAGTTCCCTACAGTTCATTTGTGTATCTTTCTTTGTCGAACGAAAGACTTCTTCCTGTGTCTCCAAAAGTCAAAGCTGAACACTGTAACCAAAATCTCTCACTGAGATTCACAAAAGTACTGCAACTGAAATGTCAATAAAATCAAAAAGGAGCAGGATGGCGAGGGTGAGCAGCGAGGATGAAGCCCCGCCGTCCTCGTGTCTCTCCTTTTCACCGTTACAGCCACACTGATTATCTCCACAATGATTTTTGCTCCTGTTGGTGTTTGTTTCCTCCGTCCTACATGGACTCTCCACTCAGCAGGTCCCCAGGCAGCAGTGTATTGATTTGGGTGGGACTCCCCATGACGCGTCCCTCCTCTCCACTCGGGGGTCCCCACAGGCTGGAGTACTGCTGCACACCGCCCCACAGCAGCTCTCCGCCCGACTTTGCTCCGCCTCCCAGGCTACTGCTGCTGCTGCCGTTGTTGTTGTTGTTCCAGTGGGGCGAGTGGCCGATGGGGTGGGGGGCTCCGGACCCTCCCATCCTCGTCTGATTGGAGCCCGGAGAGGCCTGCCAGCTGGTGGTTCCGCCCAGCGACTGGCCCTGTGCAAAGAAGCGGTTCACTTCCTCTTCCCCAGCAAACTCTGCCAGGATGGTGGTGTTCCCGAGCACGCACCTGGATGGAGGGGAGGGGATGATCACACATCAGTAACGGCTAGAACCTTTTTAAAAAAGGGACAGTTTTGATGTTTTGAAGTAAGGTCGTATTAGGTACTTCTGATACAGTAGATGGCGGTTGGCACGCCCTCAGTTTCGATATGTAAAAAGATCGATATCACTTTAAGGTAAAGCTATATGATGACTATTTTCACAGCTTAACCTTGTCCTGAGACAGCCCTTAGAGATCCATGAAAAGGCATTAGGGCTGACGGCAAGGTAAAGCGGTGAAAATATAAAAAAATATTTTCAAAAATAGCCCTACACTTAAAGTGATATTGATTTATTTTCAAGGTGGGACTTTACTTTAGGTGGCTAAAAAAGTTATTTCTGTTGCCCCCATCTACTGTTTTGCTTCTGTGTGTTAACTATCGCCTGTTAATCCAAAGTGGGGCTGTGCTGACTACAATCTACTGCAACACCTTGAAGCAGTTCATTCAGAAACGTACATGTGCAGTGACTTCTGAGCCTTAGCAGCTTCTTCCTTGGAGCTGTAGCGCACCACAGCGTTGCCCTGCGTCAGGTTGAGGTGGAATGTGATGAGGGGGCCGTGTTGCATGCACAGTGTACGCAGAGTCGAACCATCAATCTGGAGAGAGAGAAAGGCCATTAGTGGATACATATTTAATAAACTGTGAAGCATTCATTCTTAAAGGCTAAGAGGAAGCAGCGGATTGTGAGCTGGTACCTGTGGAGTGAGGTTCCTCAGAACCAGCCAGCTGCTGGTCCTGGTGGAGCTGTCTGTGCTCCATGTGGTACCTGCTGTGTTTAAGAGAGGAGACAAAGATATTCATGCTTAACAAGCTTGTTTGAAACCAAAATCAGTTACCAGAACTGATTGGGCGTGTCAATTTTGTCAGTTGACAGTTCAACCACAACAAGATCTTAAGTCTTTGTCAACTCTGACTACTCTGTACCTTCAACATGTTGTTGTTAGCCACATCAAAGTGCAGCATCATATAGAAACTATATGACTATACACCTTTAACCCATTACGGCTTTCAAATCTGCCCTTTAGACAACTCACATTTCACAACAGAAATAAAATGTCTTGAGTGTTGTGTCTCTTTGCTATGCAACAAATATATTTTTCTATATTTTCTATATACACAAAAACGTGTGCAAAAATACAAACAGATCTGCAATAATATTTCTATTTATTTATCCACAAACAATAAAACTACCCAACCTGTACAATCATTATCTACTGTTCTTATAAAATGAAAAAGAATACACCATCTAGCTTGTAATATTTGCCTGCATTTCTTTTATTGTTAGTGTGCTCATGTTTCATTGTAAGATCAGTTCTATCACTATTTCAAAAGGAATCAGTAATGGAGGGAAGCATAAAAAACGGCTATATAGTTCACTGTCAAACTACCTGAGGTGTAAGAGCTGCTCCAGCCTTGGGCCAGGCCCAGCGAGTTGCCCCCCCAGGTTGAAGAAGGCTTGGGGTTGGTGAGGCCAGGCGGGGGTCGGGAAGGAGCCATGTTGCTGCTTCGGTTATGGCCCTGGGGAACCTTCCACAGCTCGTGGGACAGAGAGGTCTGACTGTGAGAAATGGGGCCTGGAGACCAAGTAGATTTCATCTCAGACAGTTTACCTTTATCAGGAAAGAGAGAGGGAGAACAGTTGGCCTCCAGAATCAGGTGATCAACGAACAGCTGCAACCACAGGACGATGTCACTCAGAGGAAAATGTACTTAAAAGTTCCTTCATATATTTTTCGAAAGGACAGCACTTCCCATGCCACACACAAGGAGTAAGGAACACTAACACCAGGGGGGAAATATACACTGCATGAGAGGCAGAGTGGACAGGGAGAGAGCTCAGGAGGATCATATTGTTCAGGAGCTTGAATGGACAGGAGAGATGTGTTTCTCCAGAGAGGGGTTGAGGCTGTGAGTCTGACAGTAATAGGAGGGAAAGGATAATGTTGATCTGAAGTGATTCAGCCACTGCATGGTGGGGGGGGGGGGTGTTATGGGCAAACCATGTACCTGCATCGTCCGACTCCGGGGACGACAGACTGAACGAGCTAGTGTAGGCACTGACTGGCCAATCAGTGGAGGGAGGCAGAGCCTCGCTCTGAGATGAAGTGGGGGAGGAGCCTAAGCCGATGCCATCAACACAAACAAATAGACAAACAAAGAAATAAGGAAAACATAGCAGAAAGAGAAAATGGAGTAAAGGAAAAATGCTCTACAAACAATGATAGTAAGCTTTTGAAGAAGAGAAGAGTATAAACAGGTAAATGATAATGATTATAGAAAACAGTGAAAAGTGGGAAAATGAAGAACGAAACAAGAAAAACTGGGAGCAGCAAGTTCATTATACTGCCAGACAAGTTCAGTGGACTTGAAACTACATACTTCAAGCCATTGCATGAAAAGGCTTGAGCCTGCTCTCACCTCCACTCCTGTCCCGCATCAGGTAGCGGTTGACATCTTGGATGTTGGTGTTGATGGTGGGCCCGCTGGGGACGCTGCCGGGGGTCACATTCGGGTCGGTCTCAGGGTCAATATTCTGGAGGCCCTTCCACGGCACACCAGGGCAGAACTCTGAAAATCAAAAGTAAAATGTTTGGAAATGTTATTCCCCTACAATAGCGAAGAAATAAACATTACCAATTGACCATCTAGTATCTGTATTCACTGACTGCATCAGTTTTAGTTGCTGAAGTTAAACGGGGTGTTTATTATATTTTATTTGTTTATAGATGGAGTGATAATAGTCCTGTGTTATTAGACCCCAATTTCCAGGTAACAATGAAATATGTGTGAAAGGAGTTAAGAAAAGAGCTCCGGCCTTCTCTCTTAGTTCTGATATTTCTGATATGTTAAATAAATAATAGTGTTTTTCATATAGTACAGCATAACTCATTTAATGCACAAGTAGTTTGCAACATTGCTAACTAGATTAAACAATGACTACAGAGTATTTTGAGTGTTCCTCACCTGGTGGCCAGTTGATATTGGTCCCATTAGCCATCTTGTCGTTGTCTCTCTTGCCCTGCCCCCAGTTGTCCTGAGGGACCAGGGGGCTGGTAGGAGAGTCTGAGCCGGACATCAGGTTGTAGGGGCTGTAAGAGTCCTCCATCTGATGGGCTTACCGGGGGGGCCCAGGTTACCACCTAAAAAAGTTATTAAATACAAATATGTATAAAAGTAAACTATGGAAGACATAGTCTGCATCTGGTCCTTGGTGTAAAGGGGGTCAATGTAATGTCAATTACAACATTATTTGTTATCGTAAATAATATATAAACTCTCACCATGCTTGCCCATGTGAGGCTCTAGAGGAGAGGAGCTTCCAGAGAGGCTTTCGATGGAGTTGGGATGCGTCCACTGCGATAGGCGCGATTGAGGCTGGGGGGGTTCCTTCATAGACATACCTCCCACCTCCATGCAGTTTACATTCATGTTTGGATTCAGTCCAGCTGAGGAGAAAGAGAGCCGTCACTACACAAGCCCATGAGATTCAGCACAGCATTACCTGTATGCCATTCAAAGAGAAAGAGAAAGCCACTCACAGAGAGAGTACGGGCTGTAAGGGTTCAGAGATGACTGCGGCTCTTTGGTCTGCAGGTCGGGGAGGCCTGGAGCCTGGGGTGACCTGGAAATGAATCCAGGGAGGATTTGGACCCACCAGGATGCAGGCCCGAGTGGGAGGGGGGCGGCTGCTGTTGCTGCTGCTTCATCAGCAGGGCCTGGGCCAGCTGACGCTGGTGCTGTTGGATCTGCTGCTGCATGTTATTGATTGTACGTGCAACCTGGAAGAACATCACAATGAAGACATTAGGATCTAGAATGAGTAATTGTTACATTTAACAACTGAAATGAACAGTGACCTCGACAGTTTTCGCATCCCATTAAGCTTTATTTAGGTAAAATAGTTATAACTCAGTAAATGTATGATTTTTCAGTGATCAAAGTGAGAAATAAGAAAGTAGGAAATAAGAGATTAAGAGTTTAAGGTCAAGAGGGAAACTTACTTGCTGCTCTTGTTGTCGAATAGGGCCAGAAACGTTTCGCTGCGCCTGCAACATCTGCTGCTGAATTTGTAAACGCTGGTATGCCTGTGTATTAGATAGGATAAAGATTTGAATGTCAAAAGAAGTCACTGTGTCTGTAAAACCATTGACTTCTTTGTAACCAAAAATAATAAAAAAAACATGTAACAAAATAGTCTAATCTACATTTACAGAAAACATGATACAAAAAACGTCAAGTCCATTCTAAAATGCTCATAATGCAATTGTGCCCTGTGAATATTTGCTAAGTGCGCTCGAATGCATGCAATTATATCTGATGTATCTCATAAAACTGAAGCAGACCATGCTAAATGAGTCTCACCAGTTGCAGCTGGTAAAGTTGATTCAGAAGGGTCATATGTTGAGGGTTTATTGGTGAGGTTAAAAGTGCAGGATTCAGACCAATGTTTTTTGCTGCAAACTGTAAGAGCTGTGCTTGAACCTGTGACCAAAGTAACAAAAACACTGTTTTAGCACAATTAAAGTATAGAGCAGAGCATCCGTTTGGGTTTGGTGCATACACTGTCTATGAGAAGTCCCATAAGAACTTGTGGTATTAAGCTCTGAAAAGCAAAAATAATCTCCTTCTTCATTTATATACGTTAGGAAAGATCTTGACTGATAAATAATTAAATGCGAAAGTCAGAGTGAAGAGATGTTTTTAAAGACTGTAATCTAAATGTTAATTATTTATCACTGCATACATTAAAATGTTAGCCTAGGAAGTTATAAATGAGGCCAAGTGTGTGTTTGCCTAACTATATATATACATTTACGTGTGTATGTGTGTGTTTATATACCTGAGGGGAGAGAAACTGAGGCACTTGAGCACGTAGACTCGGCTGAGAGGAACTGAGCGGCGGCACTGACGGGTGGGGGGGCGGCTGAGGCTGCTGCATGGCCCGGGCTTGTGCTGCTCCACCACCGCCAAACATTCCACTCTGCATCTGCTGCACGGAGAAAGAGTCGAGAGAGACGGTCAGCAAGTCCTTAACAAGTCTCTAGATCAATAATCTACATTCATGGGTTTGAAATGTCTTTAATGTGTTATCTAAAGTTCAACAGACACATTTGGATGCAGTCACAAAGTGATCTCAATATCATATCCTGCAGCTGTAGTAACATATTTGATGACCAAACCCCAAAGGTCTTTTGAGAAGTGCAGCAGGGGGAGATATCGGTTAAGACATTTAATAGTTGATTGTATTTGAAATGTCATGTGCACCTGTAAAACTCCCTCCCATCAGACAACAAAATGGAAAAGAACATTTAGGAAAATATGCAAAATTAAACTCTCATTTGTTTTGGAATAGAAAGCCAAATTATAGTTAAAATAAATTATTTTTTTGTTTTACATTGATTTAAGTGCAGCTTGCCTTACTATCTTTCATTTAACTTGCAACCTCTTTTTGTGAACAGCTTTCCCAGGGATACCGTCCAAACCCTCTCAATTCATTATTACTCACGCTGCTATCAGGCATTTAAAGTTCACAAACTTATTTTATGTACAGAATATTCTTATGTAAATGTCTGGCTAACCTTGTCCATGAAGGGCGAGCGAGGGTCTGCTGAGGGGTCTTTGGAAAGAATTGTAGGCCGAGGGCAGCCCATAGGCTTGTTGATGAGCCCGTTGTTGTAGTCGTGGCCGGATAACCCCATCCCCCTCTTGTCCAGCTCCGTCTTCTTCTCCAGCAGGGCACTCATGGCCTGATCCAGACTCATGTTGTTGCTCTTCAGAGCCTCCTCTGCCGGATCCCTCTGCAGAAAGGGACCAGAAAGTATAAGTAATGAGGAAACAAATCATTAAATAATGTTGTAATATTAACAGCTAATTTTCAATTGATCGCTTGATTCTTTTCCTGATTTATAATTTGTTCAATTAAAAGTTTGGGTCCGATTAAACAGTCTAACACAAAGATATTTTCAATTAAAACAGTCGTACATTTCACATTTCAGACGTGGGTACCAGAGACTCTAGCTAATTCTTTAAGTGACTTAAAAGATTAACTGATGATCAAAATATTTGCAGATAAACTTTCTGTTGATCGACTCAGAAAATAAGCGTTTTATATCTGCTGTTGTTTTTTAACATCAACCTCAGGGTGGACTAATTAGCATTAATTTAATAGGCAATACAAATACACAGATATTTACACCCAAACTTTTTCTTTCGCAAAACAAACATTAATTCTGCTTTTTCGGACAATTTAATTGTTTACTAACGGAGAAGATATTGGTTATCTGGTCTGCCACAGCTTGTTTTTTTAAGCTCGCTCGGAATTGTTGAAGCTGGGCATTTTCTAATTCTACACATGGAGACTATAATTGCTCATTTCTAGTGGACTCACTTTTGAAGAGTAAATGTTAAAAAATATGTTTAGCAACCATCTTTGATCGGAAGTAAAAGAATAAATACAATAATCCCAGTGTTAGCTCTGCGAATTAAAGTGGAGCAGTGAAGCAGAGTCACTTTAACTCACAGGAAAGCCCATGTCCGTCAGCTGTTTGATGAGACGGTTCATGATCCAGGCATCTTCCTGCTTCCCTTGGACTTTTCCCTGGGAGAGCTGATGACAGAACAACTATTGTTAACTTAATAACATTCTATGAAAATGTAATATCACATTTTTTCTTGTGGGTTAAGTTAATACTCTGTATGCAAATTGCCCTGCGTCATACCTTCGGTGGGCCTTTTTTGGATGCATTGCCCCAGGAGTTACAGGAGGAGTTGTTCTCATGGGAGGCAGAGTTGTTCCACATGTCTCCATCCTCAGCGTCCCACTGGCCCCCCTGCATGTTCAGCTCTTCACCTCCACCTCCACCTCCACCTCCACCTCCCCATCCGTCTTGCATAGGTTTGGGGGCTGTAAAAAATACATAAAACATTAGTAGGTGGTAGGGAATTTGCTTTTCAAAATCTGCCTTTTAGAAATGTTCTTCCTCCCAAAATTCAAAAGTCAACCCATCTTCTCACATCAGCCGGCCCTGAAATACTTCCTGCTTTTGTTTATTTCAATATCTTTATGAAATGTGTACTGTTTTTACACAAGTAAGAACATATTTGACTTCACCTCTGCATGTTACGAAACCAGAATGCCTAAAAATAGCAACATACACTTGACTGTTAAGGATCCAGTCGGTTGTCGTCATGCTAGTTTTCTTTCATTTTTCAAACCATGTATAAGATTAAAGATAACTCTTTGATGAACGAAAATAAAAGCAACAACTTTCACGGGTGGTACAATAAGAAACACATGTTTACATAAACTGAAAAGAGCACATGTTGCACATTGTTACATAAAAGTAATTTGAACCAGCCACTAGAGGTCAGTGTGGATTAAATTACCAGAACTCTTGCTTCTCTTGTACCATATTGATGTTCTTTATGTCCAAGACATGCTTTACTTATCAGGAGAGAATGATTGAACTTTTTCAGCAGTGGAGCACACGCGTGGTATCATAATTCCTCAAAAAGTGCACACACAGTACACACTGTATAAATCAGTAAAACCATTTATTTACCAGGTTTGCAAGAAGCAGATGTCATTGTGGGGTTGCCCCGGCTGTAGCTGTCCGGGTTGTTGTCCCCCCAGCCGCCGGTGGATTTGTTCCAAGCAGACGTCCCGTTGTCGGAGCTGACCGGAGGGGGAGGAGCTTCCCCCCAAGAGCTCTCTGATTTTGTGTGGGAGTTCGGTATCTCTCCCCAACCTGAAACACACAAGGTAAAAGATTCTGTCAACAAAAATACTTTACCGAAAAAATTACAGGATCTTAAAAGTAAATCATGTTACTACTACCCCCAGTCTTTTGTCATCTTTGACTCAGACAAGAAATGATCTGACAAATCTGACGGTAGCAAGCAGAACAAATATTAAATGCCGTCTTGTATAAGAAGCATTGAATACAGCTGTATTGTTGTCATGTGTTCTACATGCCATTTCCCAATCTGACTTTATGATGCATTGTTACTGATTGTTGTGTTTACTGGCCAGGTATTTGTCATATAAGTGGCAGGTGTTTTTGCTGGCTTGTGGTGGCATCGTTTTGAGCTCAATATTAGTGTGTGATGCTCAAAGACACGCAGGCTTATGATTCCGCCTGTTCAATGTAAAACTAACATTTCTAAACTAAATTGCTGACATGCCTTAAAAAAAAACACCACTTGCTTTTTTCTTTTGTCATTCTATCTGGATTTTTTTATTTATAAAAAAAGAATACAGCTGCTAAAGTCATCACCTTGGTTACCCTTCTGTGTAGCAGTGTAAAGTGCCCCTAATGCAGGAAGGCAGGAACTGGGCTTGGCTTAGCAGGAAGGTTGACAGAGGGAGAAGATACCAATTTAAGATTTGGCGCAGCTTGGCTGCTTTTGGCTGCTTTTGGCCTGAGAGCCACAGCACTGGACATCTGACCGGGCCAGACTCAGCTTAGCTTATTATTACAAGCATTCAACCTTCTAGTATGAGTGGCCGAAGCACTAAACTATTCTAAACAGACTCAATTATTACTTTCTGCCATTAGCTATGAATAGTATTGAGTAGTTATCCCCATAGGGTTATAAATCCCTATATGCTCAACCGCCCTTTTTGCCTGCAAATTGGACACTACAATTTTTTTTGGAAAATAAATAAATCCACTGTAGAATCAGCATGCAGGGTCAAGTGAGGGACAGCAGGGGGCGTAAGTCTCCTCTTAGCTCCTCAGGGCTCCACCTTCTCCCTTCATCAACTGACAGATGGTGACTCCCATATAATCACACACTTCCGATCCTTCTCAAACTGTTTGTGGTGAAGAGTTTTTTTCACGAGAGGCACTTTGTAAACAGCATTCTTGTGCTTCCTTTGGGTACCCATGAGATGTTGCCAAGGTTACCTACACAGACGTGTCCGTTGTTGTGAAATTCGAGGAGCCTCATGGAAAGACGGGGCTGGCACTGCTTAACTCATTTGGATAGTCGATTAGATGTAAATCCACAGAGGGCAAACTAGGTCAAGATTTTACCTTTAAGTGGATCAAGGGATTGGAGCTTAACAGTGCACCGTGCTAACTACCAGCTTTCAAGTTTAACACCTTTACTTTGATGAAACGGAAAGAAAAAATGTGGAAAAACATGAAACTGATATAATCAACATATTGAATAAGTAAAATCAAATTCCCCTTAAAATCTTATAGTTGGCAATCCAGTTTAGCACATAAGTATGACTATCTAGGCTTAGCATGATTGTTGTGGGCTATGCAGCTCTATAATACTTTGCAAAATCCAAATGTTATATCTTACCTTGAGATATCAAGGGACTCCTGTTGTGAGATGGCCCCGACTGGTGTTGAACAACGGGCTCCATGGGCCCACTGCTGGGTCCTTGGTTTTGGGAGTTTTGGGTGTGGTTCTGTAAAGGTGCAGGCGGCCCGTGATAGGGGTGATTGTGTGAGTGGGAATGGGTGTTGTTGGGGCCTGGGGGGTTATTGCCTCCAGTGGTAACTTTAGCTTGGGACTTTCCTGGATTGTTCCTGTCCCACAGGTTGACTGACTTGCTGTAGGTTCCAGGGTCCCCCCAAGCTGAGGTCCCATCATCAATCTCCATTTTACGTCGGATTGAAGGTGGGGAGGGCTCTTCCCAGCCTGTAGGATCAGCTAAGGACTCCTTCTTACTGCCCCCCCAGCCTCCACCCTGCTTTGCTGGGCCAGACCCAGACCAAGAGCCCATGTTCCCTCCCCCACTACTACTACCACCACCACTGGGCCCCTCTTGAGGCTTGCCTCCCCAACTTTGAGGAGTGGGCCCCTCTTGAGGCTTGCCTCCCCAACTTTGAGGAGCGGGCCCCTCTTGAGGCTTGCCTCCCCAACTTTGAGGAGTGGGCCCCTCTTGAGGCTTGCCTCCCCAACTTTGAGGAGTGGGCCCCTCTTGAGGCTTGCCTCCCCAACTTTGAGGAGGGCCAGTGGGGCGCTGGCAAACTGGCTCTCCCCAGCCCCCATTTCCTCCAGCTGCAGGTATCCCAGGTGCTGAAGGAGACATCCCCCAACCTCTTGGGTTTTCCTTCCAGCCTCCTGCTTCCCCCTCCCAGCCCGGGTTGGTGGGACTCTTTTTGCTCTCCTCTGGTTCCCTCCAATCCCCGGCATTATTGCTTCCTCCACTATTGCTCCAGCTGTGGGATGCTTTGGGTTGCTCTCCCCAGCCTTGGGATGTTGGCTTGTTGCGAGAATCATCCCACCCGGGTGACTTCTCCTCTCCCCAGGATTGACCCCCATTCTTGGGTATACTGGTGGTGGGCCCTGCTGCTGGAGGATTCCCCCAGCCACCAGGGCCGCCCGGGGGCTTAATGTTGTTGGGAGGCTCTCCCCAACCAGAGCTAGGCTGGTTGTTAGCAACAATGCTTCCACCCCAACCTGAAGCTCCCTGAGAACCAGGCACATCATTTTTGCTCCCGGGGTCACTCCTTTGAGGGGGGGCCATGTTAGCCTTGGAGGGCCCCTGGGCATCATTTGGAGTAGTAGGGCCAGAGCCCCATGATTCCGCTGCTGCTGTTGCTGCTGCTGCTGCTGCTGCTGCTGCTTCCTTCTTACGTTTAGCGTCCATGTCCCAGGAAGTGTGCTGGCGGACAGGAGTCTGTCCCCAGCCAGTGTTACACAACACTCTGGGGTCCAGATCCTGGGCAGGCACCAAGGGAGCAGGATTATCTCGGGGTGAGGGGTCTTTGTGCTGGGGGTGGGCCTCCATGCTGTCACTGCTGCCTTCACTTGCAGCAGCTGTGCTCACAGCTCTGTTCCAAGGACTAGCCTTTGGGTCCTGGGGAGGAGAGGTGGGGGTGTCCCAGCCTCCCGGGGCCTCCTCAGTGCACGGCTTCCCCCAGTTCCCACCTGACTGGTTCCCACCTGACTGGTTCCCACCTGACTGGTTCCCACCTGACTGGTTCCCACCTGACTGGTTCCCAACTGACTGGTTCCCAACTGACTGGTCCCCCCAGCCTCCAGAGCTTCCTGCTCCACCTCCTCCACGGCTCCAGCCAGATTCCCAGCCAGATACCTCCTTAGATGAAGGTGCCTTTGAGTCGCCACTGTTACCCCATACCGAGCTACCATCTTCTCCATTGACCTGAGAGCCCCCTGGGGGGGTCTGGCCCATGGAACCCAAGCCTACAGCTGCATTACCCCAGCTAGGCAAGCTGCGGATGGGGCTAGGGGGTTCCTGCTTATTAGTGTGATTTGGTCCATCAGTATTAAGGTTCTGAGGTTCTGAACTGAAAGACACATTCGTGGACGGGGAGGGGTGTGGCTCTGGCGCGTCGGAGGCCATCATGCTGCCCCAGGCGCTGCCAATCCCCAAAGAGTTGCTGTTAGTGTTGGCTCCAGTACAGTTGCTGGTCTGGGCTGGTGGGGGGCCAGGCGGGTTACAGAGGTTGGGTGAAGGTTGAGGAGGTGAAATGGTGTTGGCTCCCCCTGAGCTGCCTCCCCCTGTGCCAACCCCGTCATGCCCCAACACCGGCCAGGCAGACGGGTTGGCATTAGGGTTTAGGTTCAAGTTAAAGTTGGTGGTGGAGGATGGTGAAGACCCCCAACCCCTGCTGTTTCCTCCCCCGACTGGGCTGTCGTTCTTCCCTTCACTCCCCACTGAGGACTGGGGGGGGCAATGGGAGGATCCAGGCCCCGAGCCCCAGCTGCGATTGGCTGCAACCTGGCTGGAGAGCGTGCTGGTTCCAGTATGATTGGCAGGGCTGGGCCCACTGTTGGCCTTGCTGCTAAGGTGGTTGGCAGAGAAGTGGCCTGTCTGGCTATTGGCCCCCGTAGCCATACTCACGGTACTACAACTACTACTAGTACTACTGCTGCTGCTGTTGGTCAGATGACCAGGGTCAGTGTCCAAATGGCATCCTCCTGGAGGGGCCTGGCTCTGGCTGAGGGTAATAGAAGGCCAAGCCTCTGTTTCCTTCTGGTCAATGATCAGTTGATCCCAGCCGCTGAGGTTGGTGGAAGATGCAGCACTCGTGGCACTCCTGTTAGCTGGCAGGTGTCCCCAGAGGGGATTATCATACTGGGCTCCCTGGCCACTTTGTGGGGGCAGTTCTGTAGGGGAGAAAAGAAAAATAACATGAGCAAGAGCAAGAAGGGACGAGAGAAGAGAGGTATAATGTTTGTGTGTCATCACACCCACACTTGCTTAGTAAGGTTGAAATACCATGGCAACATGTAAGGTTGTACTTATACATACTAGACTTCACAAGATGCTTTACTAATGAAAATAAATACCACCCACACTGAAATTGCAAACACACATAGTGACTAATATGATGCCATAGGGAGCTTTAATTAGAAAATAAATGCAGTATTTCCGCACCCTATGCAAACACTATACACGAACACGAGCACACATTGTTTTCAGGTATTTGTTTTCAAATGTATATGACTCAAGGAAGGAACAGTGTTTACAGCACAATGAACCTGTCTCACATGCTATATTGGCTTGTTCTTTTGAAGAATATAACTGGATTCAAAAGAATATTTTCGGTATTAACATTAAAAGCACATTTATTCAAACTGACCATTTCATATAAGTTGTATCCATCAATGTGCTGGTATTTCAGATGTCCATGCAGTTTTTTCATCATTGTAGATATTGTTTAAGATGTGAATGGGTTGTGGTAAAACTGCATGTATAACTGTTTCTAAAAATACGAATGCAAATCAAATCTAACCACCAAAAATGTACCATTAGATTTCGCTTTGGTTGCATGCAACAATTATTTTAATATTGAAAATGGCCATATGTATCGGGAATATGTAGGTTTTAAAGTTAACCAAATGGAAATGTTCACCACATGCAAAATCTTCATAGCCCTTCAATGCATTTGAACCAATGAGAAGAACTAACAGCTACACTGTATCTTCCTTATAGGTTACCCCATTCAGGTCTGGTATTTTTGTGAACTGCAAATAGACAGGGACCATGAAGGCGAGTCATCCTTAACCTCCTAACCATTTGACCTCAACTTGACTTGAAACAGAAATACGCAGTAGCTCAGCCTGTCTCCTCACTAACACATCAGCCTCCACCTCCCTGTACAAGTTCTCTGACAACCCAAAGTAATGCTTCGGTTTATTTCTCTTAGATCTCTGTGGAGTACTAGTGTGCATACGGATTATGTTGATAAAACTAAGCCTAGTTGCAGATCATAATTACTGCACTGATCAACCTACTGCCACCTCATTGGCTTATGCCTGCTGTCCCTTGTGCTGCAGTGCGTTATTGTTTACACATGCCTTCACATGCATGCTCAGTTTGTATGCAAAGCCTCACTACAACTACACGAGGGAAGTGTTAGCATTTGTGTACCAGCCCCTGTTTTCAAGCTTTCTTCAATGCTTGCAACTAAAGGAGAGAGAGAAGGCGTTGAGAGAGCAGGGAGGGGGGAAAAGAGGGCACTGTGTTTCTGACACACACAGCACTGTCGTTCTGTAGCGTCACTCTACTGAGAAGTGCAGGGCCGCCATTTTCTCAGTGCTGATCTCCAGCCAAAAAGGCTCTGAGCTATCGCCTGTTCTTCCACTAGCGCTGCTTTAATAGCAAGCATGTCCCACTCACAATAATAAACACAAAGGAAAATAACTAAACATTGTAAGCCTGCAATGCACCGTCACTGCAGCTTTTGTTTGCATGCTTTAAAAATGCATCCACATGGTGGGTAAATATAACCTCCCAAGACAACACAGCAGACGCAGAGAAGAGAGAACAAGACTAGGTCGAAACCAGTGCGGCTGAACAGTGTAAGGCTACATGCTGAATTGTTGCTTATTTGTTAGCCATAATGTTAATTTCCGAATATTGAATGTATGTACTCTATGTATGGACTGAGTAATATTTGGTTCTAAAGTGTACTAAGGTAGCATATCATGATATAGTTAAGCCAAGTTTCAGTCAAATAATTGAGGACTGCTTTACTCAATAACTTCAACAATATAATATTCATGCTATTTTCAAACGTTTGATGTACTGCATTACTCATCTAAACTGTCATTGTCCTATTTCCATCACATGCCAACACACAGGGGAAAGGCAATGGTTTGCATTACATTGACGCAGACCAGACCCAGGTTGCATCCCATGACAATCATCAACATGCCAGCAGATGGAAGCAAGAGACGGGAACTTAACTTGGGTTTTGGGGAGCTACAGTATTCATTCATGGGCAAACTGAAACACACATTATATATTAACTACCATTTGAAAACTTTAATGGTGACTTTTTCTGCTCCGACCGCCAACAGCTGTCTGCTCTGACGGCATCCACCTTCACTCTCTCTCTCTCTCTCTTGACCACACACTCACTACGCACTGAGCTATTCCTCCTATATAATATTCATCAAACTCTGCCCACACTGTACGAATAGGAGTGAAACAGGATGGTTGTGTAGAACAGAAGCACTGATGTACACATAAACAGAAGAATGGCAACATAAAATATCAAATGTATCAAATGATGCTTTCTGGGTTGAGTTTGTTGGCAGAGCAGCAAACAGCCAGTAGCGTCACGTTATAACTCACTCACTCACTGAGAGACTCTAGTGTTGCTGGCTCCCAAATAGAGGGGGGCTGAAGAGGAAAGGAGTGGAGATGTGAAATACCTGTGGAGAGGAGCCTCACAACCATCCTGTAAAGAGCTAGGTTTTGTGCGATGCAGCGACCATCCTTGTTTCAATATGTCTGCTCGTCTCGCCAAGCGTCGGAGGCTCATTTCTGAAATGCTGCCAAGAAGTTGCACAGCTCTTGCACGGCATGAGACAACCCCCCCCCATCCCCCCTCCCTTCCTTCCTCACCCCTCTTGCTCTGTCCCTCCCACCAGCACTGCTTTGACTGGGTCTCTCCTCTTCTATCTATTGCCTCCCTCTGGCTTTATTTATATCCTGCTCTATTCCTATCCTGCTCTATTCCTATCCTGACGGAGAATATCCTCCCTCTCTGGAAAAGCACTGGTTGGGGGAGGGGAGGAGAGATTTGGGGGGGGGGGGCTTGGTTAACAGCTGAACGATAAAGCCTGGAGACCTTCATTATGCACTCATGAGGCATGAAGTAAAACAAAAAGGGGGACTCTTCAACCACCCCCCCTCCACCCTCACATCTTTCAACCTTTCACTAAATATTTAGCCAAGACCACTCCATCTGCAATTAGCACTGCCGCCCACAATGGGAAGCCTCTTGAATAGCTGCGGCAGGCAAAAGAGAGCAAGAGAACCCTCACAAAAGCCTGCTGCGCCCCCTCCGGTGCTGAAATTCTCACACACGCACGTGTTTATGTATGAACAGACATATCACCAGATCACACACGATGACTAATGTCTGTTTTTTGTATGTTAGTTTTTGACAGCTGGTCCACAATGCTGCAATTATAAGCAGCAGCACAACGCTTAGGGTGGACATTTGCCGCTTCATGGGGGGGCTTTGTGTGCACAGGGCAAGGGCATGCAGTGAACAAACTCATATGGATCTGAACACAGAGCACCATAAGGGAACGGTGATCTGGTCCACCACATGGCACCGGAGGAGCTACGGGGTAGAAAGAGGTTCCATAGAGAGACCAAATAGGAAGACATTGATTGGAATAAATAGAAAGCATGGATGGAGGATGATATCTACGGCCGGGAGCTCGACGAAGAAGAAAAGAAACAGAGCAGCGATCACTCGGATCAAGGCTGGTATTGTTTACAAATGATCCCACCTCCCACGCAACAACACAATAAGTCAATGTTTAGTAGAGAACAGAGTCCCTTTATTGCTGAGGTTCTGCCCCCTGTGCCTCTCCACTGCGAGGACCTAACATGCACTGAGGCCATGCCGTGCTTCTGCGTTAACGACGTACACACAACGTAAACACTGCATCTACTGTGTGGATGGCAAACATTAAACACCATGCTCACACAACGTTCTAAATGCTCAGATCAGCAACCCTTTCGCGATTGTTTGTGGACACACGTGTACCACATGTACAAGTGTGGTGCTGTAGTGTGTGAAAGCAGGGGAAACAAGGATCAGGTAAAGAGGGATCATGAGGAATAAAAATACAAATGCAGAGATGGATGTTGAGAGATGGAAGGAGGAAGTAATCTAGGAGGACTGTGAGGGCCTCAGCTGGACTGATCCCGGCTTAATGAAGTCCCCGAGGGCCAGAAAGACTGGATGGTACAGCGCTGACAATGCATGCAGCCAGACAGAGGAACAAGCTCTCTGACACACGCACACACACCCCACAGGAATGTGCTACCTCTGTGTTTAATGATCACATACGCCACATCCCAATTGTTTTTGATTTGGTGCACAGAAGCAAAACCACTTAATTGTTTATGAGAAGCACAACTTATTGGACTGAAGGAAAATGAATGGCAGCTTTAAGAATTTTGCTTTTTTCTTGCTTATTTTATGTGTTACTTTTATTACAGTAAACTGAATATTGCTTTTTATTGCTTGGCGAGATGCAACAATCAGTTATTTTGATTATGTCATTAGATCAACACTTAGAAAAGACAAGTTGCAGGCCTAAATGCGTGTTTGCTTTTCAGCACAAACTATAACTAGTTACAATGTATATTTACCCATGCATAGATTAGAGCGATTTAAATAATGTAAGAAATGCATGCATCTACTACCACTACTGGGATTGAGATAAATATGCAAGTATCTGAGATACTCCACTGACTTGGCTGATTTATGCAAAGATTTAAGGATCAGGGTCTGGTGTGATGCGAATATGGAAACGGTTGATTGGTTGTTAGAAGATTTGTATTCATCCTTTCACAACAAAAACGGCTAAATGACGGGGACTGTAGAGAAATATATGCAAGGAAATTCCGTTTTGTAAGGATGCTTTCTTTGAAGCTGCTTTCCTGTTTAAGTGATGTCATCCTCCCAAGGGAAAAGACTAGCAGAGACAAAACATGCCTTTTTCAAAAGTACACATGCCGTCATGTTTGCCTGCGAGTATCTTTTTTCTGCTGCTCCTCTAAAGGATAAACCGGGTCAAGGGCTTTCTCCAGCATGCCAGTCTTAAAATAGCTCGCTCTCTCACGCCTCCTACATGGAAGGGCCCTGGGATACGGGTTGTTAGCCAAGCAAAAGGCAACATTGGAAGCCAAGGCTATAATAAAGGGAAGATTGACAGAGTTACATATAGTATGTGCAGCCTGACTAATCCCAGCTGCCCTGGGGCCATCGAGGGTATGTGTGCGCTGCGGTGTTGGTATAGCGGAGGTGGAGGAGGTGAACGCATGTGCACCGGAGAACAACGAGCGGGGCACATAGCAAGAGGAAAGTTAGAAAGAAGAAAGAGTGAGCGCTGAACATTTGTGGTTAACAGAGAGCTGGTGTTTAATCACATCGCAAGACGTCCCAGTCCTCTTTGAGGGGATTCCCAAGGCTCTTTTACAGCGTCATCAGCAGACTTAAAGAGTACATCAAGTCTAGCATACGTCATTCGCACATTAGCTGAACTGTTATTGCTGGTGTCAGCCTCTGTAGAGGCAGTACAATGCCTAATGGTACAAACAAACTTGATGATGTTGCTTCATGGGCTTTAACTAGGGCTTAAGACAAAATGCAAAAGGGAAAGGCATCAAATCCTAAGTGCTACAGGCGACACATTATAGGACTACAAGCCGGTTTGTTTAGTTAAAAGTCAGACTAAAATAGGATTGCATCATGGTCACACAAAGACTTCTCACTTTGAGTGCACGTCCCTGACATTTAACTGAATACCCTCAATGGGAATGATCTTTATCTTAATTAAAAAAAGTATTCCAGTGTAGGATATATGGCCTACAGTAGATGGTGGCAGGCGTGCCCACAGTTTGGAGAAGCAGACAGAAGGTACTGCACAGAACAAACGCAATGCACTGCTGTGGCAGCAAGTACACGCATTTTAGCCATCTAAGAAAGAACATCTAAAAAAAACAAAAACAGGTTTAGGTGCATGATACTCTATATTTATAATATTTTCACTGCTTTATCTGTAGCTTCTTAGCTATACCTACTTGGGTTCATTAGAATTCACCAAAGTCACATAATAACACAAACAAATCAAATGTTGCAGCAGTATACATGCAACTCCCATGTTCTGTGAGGAAGAAATACTGAGTTTGATTTCTAATGAAGCCTGGGGCTAACTGCTGCAGCTCCCTGTCAGAGACATGACTGTATTGCTGTCTCATGGCAAGGCAGAGCGGTGAACATATTCTAAATATAGCGAACTCGTAAACTGATATCATTTTTTTTGGTGGCCTCTCGTTTAGGTGGCTAACATTTTTTTTGTTTTGCTCACAGCCCCGTCTACAAGTAGCACATTGCTTTGCTCACGTGTGGTAATGAGGGCAGGCTGGCGGTAAATGAACTGTAGGGGCAATACACTTACTATACATTTGTTCCTAATACTCCCCCACTTCAAAACATCGAAACTATCGAATGTTAATTATTAACAAGCTTGTCGCTGTTTTAAAGTTGAGAGATACTATATTTTTAAAACAGAGCAGAGACGCATAAAGCTAAGACTGCATAGGAAAAGATTGTTTGTGTTTACATGCATGCAGCATGTGTATATTTGTCGACACACAGACCATGTTTATCGGCCCTACTTTTCAAGAGAGCCAACATATGACCGAGTAATAAAAGATGGGGAGAGGCGAAGTGGAGTCAGCGGAAGGAGAGAAGAGGGAGAGGGGAGGGAATGAATGCAGCTAGTGTACTTCTACTGTTAGTTCTTTGCCAGAAATTAAAGTAGGGAGGGGGACTATCACTCTGTTAGCAGATAAGGCTCTAGGGACAGTGATGAAGTTGAGTTAACCTGTGGTGTGCTGAATGCAAGTTTACGCACCACAAACTAAACAGTGACGTTTTTCAAATGCGACTTTAGATAGTCGAAGAGACATGTAACAAATCTTAAAGTGAGACAGAGTAGAGCGTCATGCTCACGTGCAAAACTTCTCTGTGCACCAGTTCTGCATGCAGTCTGTGCAGAGGGATATATATGAATAAACCTCCCGCTGGGCTCCTATCTGTCTATCAGTCTGGAATGTCCTCATGTCTATTTGTCCTAATGCAATCCGTCAGTTCAAAGACGCAAAGAGAGCAAAAGCAGAGCCGAACGGGCCTGCCAGAGAGGGGCGGAGAGAAGCAGCAGCTTTTACCGTAAGCCATGAGTCACTTCAGCCCACAGTACTGGACCTCTGCCATGCTCACTCTCTCTCTCTCTCTCTCTCTCTCTGTCTTTATTTCTTCCTTTCCTTCTCACTCAGTCTTTCTATCAGTGCCAGGGCAGGCCTACTAAGGCACCCGGCCAACCAGCTCGCTTCATAAAGCTCCTCCTCCAAATACAGGAAATACTGTATGGCTGGTCATCAACTCTCAACGATGAGTGGGAGGATGATGATGATGAGAGGGAGGAGGAGGAAGAGGAGAAAGAAAGGCGGAGGGGGTAAACATCTCATCACCATGGAGATATAGCTGCATAAAACAGCATCAGATGGGTTGGATGATAGTCAGACACTTGTGATAAATGTTTTTCTTCCCAGACAATGGAAAGTGCCATCACTATCTTCAAGTAGCACGTGATGCCTTCTTCAGAAAATAATAGACCTTTATCACTTGGAAACAAATAAAAACGTAATGTGTTACTGTGAGACGAAGAGATATACACACACACACGCATACATAGCCATCTGTGTTTACTCTCCATCCTCTACCCCTCTATACCTCTATCCCCATTTACAATTCCCAGCCAGGCAAAGGCAGAGTGAAAATAAACAGCAGCACCTGCCGTCCCACGGGTCTATAAGTACACTGCACTGTTACAATCACAGCACCATATGAAAAGTAGATAAAGCCACTGTCATTCAAAAGTGCCAACGACAGTATATGCACAACACCACTCCTACGCAGAGCTGATAAGATTCAAACAACTGCCAGGTTGTGTTGGAATAAGAACGGCAACATCATGGGTACAAAGACCCCCTATGTGAAGCTTTTTGTTATCAGGCTGTGCACAAGGGTTAATTAAAGCTTGTAGTGTGAGTAAACACACCTAATAAAAACAGATGGTCTGTCCAGTTTACAACTACCCTGTTTGATACTTGATTCCACTCACCTCTCTTACCCCAAATAAATATACAGAAAGTGACTCACAGCCACCTTTAAAATCTCCTACTTCTACCGCCACTGCTACCTGTAAAGAAACCCTTTTGCAATACACAATAATTGCATTTCCTTACTAAACCTTTTGCAGAACGAGAGCAGTTAGAGATAGCGACTCGCCAACAGATAGTGTCTCGGCTGACCTGTAGGCAGGCTGGATGTGGAGGAAGAGGAGCAGGAGGGAGAGGAGTGTGTGGCTACTGCTGCTGCGGGTTCAGTAGTGGCGGGACGTCCCGTCGTGGTGAGGGGCAGAGTCCCGGAGGGTAGAGGCTGGCCCCTCTTCAACAGCTGCTTGTGCTCCTGCTGGCGGAAGCGGGGGGGCACCTCTCGTGGCGGGTAGCGCTGCTGTGGCAGAGTCTGCTGTGCTGTCTGCGGCTGACCTCCAGAAGGGGCGCGCTTGCCATTGCCACTGCTTGGGGGCACAGACGGGACGGCACTGGGGTTGACGGGGGGAAGAGGAGGGGTGGGGTCGAGCTTGGCAGATTCTGGCACTGTGGAGGTGGGAGGGGGTAGAGGGGGACAGGTAACAAGAGAGCAGAAATGCAGGGATGAGGGAGGTAAAGGAACATTAGGATAAGCAGATTTTGTTGAGCGCAATTTAGAGCCAAAACAATTACTGACTGATTAGGCAATACAAACTCTGTTATTATGATTTTTAATTTCATTCGTCATTATATTTGTAAGAAACAACCAAAAACTGCCCTAGGAAGTAAACAAATAACAATAATCAGTATAACTTATTGGAAGCTGCCTTGGCTGAGCATTTTCTACACTGTTGCTTCTCAGAGCCATGGTCACTCTTGGATGAGGTCCATCATTTTAAATTGCTGTATTTCTCCTCATTTGCCTTTCTCAGAGCCTTGATGCTAGGCAGCGGTCAGTAAAAACACATGGCTGCTTTTTGGAGAACCAAGGAACTGTAATAATGTCAGGGTGATGCTATAATAAAGTTTCAGGCTTTAAGGATGCCAAGACACACAACCGCCACGGTGCCAAGTCACAGATTAGAAGTGATGAGGAGGTCAAGTGCCAGATAATGGACTTAAATCTGCCTGCTGCATTATCCTGGGCCATTGTTTCCATCGGGACAGTACTGTTAAGAGTGCTCAGCCCCATCAGCGTGAGCTACTCATGGTTTGTGGCAGGTTATGGCCCCCGAAATGATCACCGCTCAGTGCTCTACCAAAGCTGTTAGATATTAACTGCTTGTGTGGTTGCTGAGGATAAGTGCTCATGTCCTACTAGCTATAGTTACCCTTAGCAACAGATGAGGCGCACGGACACGCATGCACGTACGCACACATAAACAAATATTCCTGAACCTGTAATTACTAATTTGTGTGGCCACTTGGGGATAGCTAAAACAAGTTGAGAAGATTAACATATAACAAAGTTGTTAGCAAACAAATACCTAATTACACATCCAGCAGTTACAAAGCAACATTAAAGTTCATTTTGAGTCGTGTTTCTGGACACCGGATGTAGGTCCAATATTCGCTCTCTTTTTGGCGAAGAATTCTGAGGGAAACATCTGGATCTTTTAACTGCTAACTATGTTTACAATCTTTTTGCTGAAAACAGCTGCCTGCCGCCGACCTCAATGGTATAAGAGTGTGTGGACTGAACCAAAATAATTGGACAGCTATTCATAGGCTGAATCCAGCTATAGGGCTCTATAGAGCTGAAGGGAGCATCAGATTCAGGTGATAATTATCTGGTAGGTAGATGCCTTTCCCGTATTTTGCATAATCCTTTGATAAATGTTATTATCAATACAAAATGAACTGTCAATGTGCACACTGTTAACAAGATATGTCACCTACTTTCCCTTTTTTTAAATGCCAAAAAAAGAAACCAAAGCTGTTAATTGTAAAGTCCTCAGCAGGCTAATATACTGTAGCTTAATGGGGAAGTGAAAGGTTAAAAGGTCACGGCTAAGTCAAACAGGATGATCAGGGTCGGTGAGCCGCTGCTTGGTGAGATGCATCATGGGAGACAAAGCACCCTGGATAATCGCCTCAGTACATTTCATTACATAATAGAATAAGCTGTTCAACTAGAATGTAAACAGGATGCAAGAAATGTGTTTTAAATCTACACTTACTTCAAAACAACAAACATCAGCTGATCTGACGTGATGTTCACTCAGACAGAATGCTATTTCAGTTCCTGCTGGTAATAAAATACAGGAGGGGGGGGAAGGAGTAGAAATATATATTTTTAAAAACCTTGTTGAGGCAGCAACCAAAATAAAATAAAAATCTTTGTGTGGCCGACGTGAGTTATAAAGAGCAGTGTTTTGCCATTGGCTTCCGTCCCGAGTGTGTGCAGTGAAGCAATGAATAACTCGCACACATGCGGCCAGCCGACACACAAAAACAAAGAGTTATGTAATCTCGAGGCCCACACTGAGGGGAGAGGATGTCGTGGAGTATGCATCCACTCGGTCTTGTAAATACTGACAGACATGTTTGCTCACCTAAAGCCACCATTTACCCTGTTTTCCTCTTTTTCTGTGTATGTTTATATCAGTCGTGCATGTGCAGGCTCTGGGGGTTTCCTCTGTCATTTTTGCACCCTGCGCCGAAGCCCCTCTGTAGGCTAAAGGCACCGTCTGCATGGTGTGATCCAGTTTCACCCGCATCTGTCTGTGTCTCCCTCTCCCTGCAGCTCAGGAATCAGAGGTGGGGGGGGGGGGGGGGGGGGGGGTGCTCGAGAGCTGGAGCTCGCCTCTCATCGGATTGCTCTACATCTGCTCCATTTCCTCTCTGTTGTTGTGCTACATCCCTCCCCACCTCCCCTCTCCCTTTCTCCTTCTTTCACTGTAATACTGCTATTATCCTTTTTGTTGTTATTACTCTATTAGGTGTGGCAGAAAATTCCCCGGCCAACTCTCTTTGCTGATTTTAAGGTGCGATTTCCTCCAAGAATATGTGAATGTCGCAATGCATAATAATAGTTATGCAGGCGATCGTTATACAGTTGGGACTCTCTGATGTGTGACGTCGATTCTTCTGGAAGCTGGGGGAAGGGGGAAGCTTGCTGGATGCTCCGTTAGCCAATCAGAGGGGGGAGACGAGAAGTGAGAGGGAGGGAGAGCGAAAGCCAGAGCTGACGTACAGGAGGGAAGGAAGGAGGTAGAGCAAGGAGACTAAGTGTTGAAGAGAATGGTGTGTGTGTAAGACAGTCTCACTGCCTGAAACCAGCTCGGCTCTAAATCCACTTACAACACTTCTTGCCGATAGTTCGCCACTACAATAAGAAGTGTCCTGCACATTTAGCAACATCTAAGTACCTCATTCACTAAAGCAAAGTGTCCTAATAATTGCATTATGGTTATATGAAAGCCAAAGATTGATTCTAGTAATGAAAGGGACCAGGAGACAAAAACAAACAAATAGATATAAACCTCAGACATTTACAAGGTGTGGCTTACAGTATTAAGCAATTCACTTTGTAGAAGAAAGGGAAAAAAAGTGAAAAGAGATCAGAGTCCCTTGCTCTGACAGTCTATTTGCAAAAACACAGTCCTCAGCTGTGCGAGGGCACCGGAGAATTCCCAGTTCATCAAAGATGCACATCAAACTGGGCCTTGGGGCTATGTGCGCTTCACGCAGAGGAAGACATCCCATTTTCGACTTTAAAAGGGAGTCTTAATTTTCTGAGAGAAAAGATGATAGCAAGCTTGTTTGACTGTTTAAGACCTAAAGGTTTTTTTTTGGGGGGGGGGGGAGTCTGTCTGGGAAGATATCAGAGGATTGAATGTAGGTGGAATAAAAAAGGAGAGGGTGGAGAGCTCCACTTCTGTCTCCCACTCCGATGAAAGAAGAAAAACAAGACACATGACCTTGTAGATAAAACATTCTTCTGTGTGTTTTCTGAGTGGAGGTCTGTTCAGGACCCCATGAAAAGCTAATAAAGAGAAGCCAATACAATTCCATTTAAAGTACCTGTCATACTTAGTTTAGTTAGAGGCCTTATGTTGACCTGATGTAAAAGAATTAGAGCAACAATATCACAGTCCGTACGTACAGGAGGCATTTCACTGGGAAAGTGTTATATTATGCAGAGAGCATGCCATTTCATAATTGCTACAGGCACAGCTTCAAATGTGGACCTGAGTTAAAGCACTTGGACGACTTGGATCACTTTTCCGACTCCATACAATTAGTGCACGTCTACCTAGAGCTTTAATAATAGCACCCTGCTGACCTGCTTTCCATTCATCAAAGTGGATTGCCTTGGTCTTAGGTGAAGTATAAACAGATACGCTTTTGCAAAACTTGAGTTTGTTAGTGATTATAAGCTTTCCATAGCTAAGCTTTTAATCAGCTACATTACGGCCTGAAGGAAGCTCTTACAAACTAACCAAAGTTCATTTGGTTCCTCTACACCGGCATGTTGATGCTTGATGTCCATTAGGAGGCATGGCTCTACTTCAACTGGCATTGGTTGAAATAAAATGGGTCTTTTGTTAACTAGAACAGAAGCTTTAACACAACTTCTATACAAACGGTTCAACATCGCAAAGTTATACAAAGATAAGGGGGTGCAGATTTAGTGAGCAATACTAATAAATGCATATATAAACACAAAAATGTCTGTTGAAAACGTGACTAAAGCCTTTTCATCCATGTGTATCCAAGTTTGACAAATTCCCTTTGATACATGCTTTCTCTTTAGCACACTGTATGTCAAGTGTATCTTATATCTGCTGTTGCTGCCAAAGTGTTATAGTACACTACTGTAATTGAAGTGAAAAGGGAAACATGGAAATGACTAGATCCTTATCAGGTGTCTATTAAAGAGGAGGCAGCGGAAAGAGTATCAACGAATCGAGAGTGAGGAAGGGAGGCATGTCTTGAGGGTTTTCTCCATCTCTTTCCTCCTGGGGGCTTTAAAGTGTGAGCAGCGAGCCTCACAAGAGAGACGATTACAGGGTTTAATTAGAAGTGAATGAATATGACACTGTAGTTAAGAGGGAAAATCCTCCCTCGCTGCATCACATTCAACACAGACACAATTCTCTTTAAGAGCATTTGATGTCTGAGCACAGAGTGACAAACACAAGGCGATGTACTGTAGGTCAGAGCATTAATCAAATAGTAACTAGATATCCCAACGGTGCAACATACTTCAACAACTAAGTGGTAAAGTACACTGTAAGCATCTTAGGTTTCCCTCCCCAGCGACAATCACTTGGCTTTTAAAAGGGTATTTCTCACCAAAGCTATTCTCAACATGCAGAAGAGCCACATGACCGATTAGAGGGTGGTATGCATGCTGCTCTCAGAAGACAGGTGAAAGAGGGAGAGACGGTGAGACAGAGAGACAGACAGCTTCCCTGGATTCACTACCGTCACGTCCGAGGCCTTTTGTGCCAGCAGCTGCAGGCAGACCAGATTCCACTGTCTGTTGTGATTTAGAGGAAGTGATGTGTGGAAGAGAAAGAAGAAAGAGAGTGGGACGTCCTGTCCTCCTGACCTGGGCAGCAGCCCCTGGGCCAAAACAATTCAAAGGAAAATAGCTGAGACTGCAATATAAGCTTCATACAGAAATACATTTTTTTATCAGAGAGAAATATCAGCCCTGCAGTTCACCTGGTAGAGCGGTGACCCACGTGCTGAGGCCTTAACACAGAGGCAGGGGTTTGAGTCTGACCTGCAGCCCCTCGCTCACTCTTTCCTGACTGTTTCTAGTCATCCGCTGTACTTTCAAATAAGGGCACAACACCAGAAGATTAAAAAAGTTACTAGATTGTGGGTATTTGGATATCGTATGTGGCACAAGTGTTATCTGTTCCTGTTTTAAACGCTGCGTAACTTTAAAACAATTCTATTTTTCAACTTACCCTCCACACTTATCCACACGACTGATGAGTATTTATTAGAAATCTCATAGCAGAAATGTGAAAGCACCAATAGTCAACCCTACAATAACAATATAGATGTATTTGGTACAAAAATATTAGATTTTCTCTCCATCAAGTAAGCAAATATCTCTTTGAACCTGCTTATACATTAATAGGTGATGCAAAATCGTCAACCAAGTATTTATAGAGATGTTATACAGAACACAGACTTGCCCTTTGCAATCTAATTTGTATCTGCCATAAGCAGTAAATAATTTCTTTACATCACACCTCTCTTTACAGCCAGCTTCAGAACTTATAACATTTTAATTCACAACTTCCCACACCACTTAACGTGATATAAACTCACATTTCTGACCCACTAACCTCCATGTTTTGATACAGAGAAAGTAGATTGCCCATTGTTCAGAGGAACCACACTAAATAACATTTGTAACATCTGTGTGACCCCTCAGATTACAGCGTAGCCTGAAAAGACATTTAATGACGATAAGCTCATATGCACAATTTATAGTGTAACACTCCACAACAGCACAATCCAGATGTCACCCCTGTTGCTCTTTCAAATGTGGTTCATCTTCACCACTGCTGCATCCATTAAACTGAGCTCCGTGGGATAAGACGTGTTGAAGAGGCGGTGACGATGACAAGCGGTACGCTGCAATAAATCCCCCCCCGATCGACCCGCAATTTATGACTCTCCAACACAAAGCACTGGGCGTAATTAAGCGGCAAATTAATCTATTATGAAATTACTGCCGCGACACTACTTTATAATAACGTTATCTTTTATTGCGATATGTAAATGTGGGCCTTGATGTGCATGTATATTGTGCCCTAGCTTTTATATGGAGAGAAACGCATGGCAGGAACAGAAACACAATAGCCAATTAACCCCTAGACATTAACTCTACTACAGCTTGTTGATGCCAGAGGGCCTCCGCTGTGGGACAAAATGATCGGGCCAGTAATAGTTAGTTACACTAATGTGGTACTTTCTGAGCGCTGGTCATTTATCTCTTGCCTGGTACACAAACAGATCGAGGCTTGGCTCTGCTGTGACATTGACCTATAATGTGATACTAGCCTTAAGTTACATGCAAGTTTTAACATGTTTCTGCAATAATGTACACAACATTTGATGAAGAATTGACATTTAAGCGACGCTTCTACATCTGTAGTTTGGTTAAAATAAAACGTTGCCTGACGTAATATGCCTAATGTGTTTATTCATCTGCTATGGTGTCACAAAAAAATTACTCTCCCTCTCAGACTGCTACATAATCAAATGTTATGAATAATGATTAGCATAAAGAAAAATCTTTTACATACATTTTTGAGGGGATGTTTACCTAGAGGTCACTGTTTCACTCACTTCTGATATAGAACAAAACAGAGTAGGACACAAGCTCAACACACTTAGTGTTTTGAACACACATCCTGACACTCCTATGTGTTTAAAAAATAATAATTGGCAACTATTCTGATATTGATAATTGATTAATCATCAGAGAAACATTTAATGCAAAAAATGTCATAAAAAAGCAGTTGCCTGCCTTTTAAAATTGCAGATTTGCTGCTTTTACTCATTGTTTTCTGCTATTTAAAGACCAAAAGATTAATTGCTTGAAAAACTATTAATAAATATGATAGTTGACAGCCCTAATCTGAAGGTCGAAGTGCTACACATGGTAATAAAATCCATAACATTCCCCGTGTGGGTAAGTGAGAGGAAAGAAATCTTGGTAGAATTTGCGAGTAGCAATGTTAAACTATAAGAGTAAAACCATATGTGTGTATTTGCACGAGCACGCAATGTACATATGCTGCTGGTGTTTGCCGGTCATATAAGGGGACTGCTAGAGTGAGAGTGTGTGTGTGGTTGTGTGAAGAGTGAGCCAGAAGAAGTATCCTACAAAGGGCCCCCTCAGCTGTGCCGGCAAACAGGAAACTGCCGTGCATTCTCACAGTTTCTCCTGGCTCCGTCTGTTTCTTTTGCTCTCATGCCGTATTCTAGCTCTTTTAAAAAATCGACCAAAGGCACTGTGTTTAAGCAGCGAATGTAAACACAACAACTTATCTCATCTCGTTCCTTACAGCCCACCCTATTCTGCTCACTTCTCCCTCCTGTTGGTCCCAGAGTGGGCCTCTCTGCTAGACTAGACAGGAGGTGGTGTAGTGTTACCATGGTGCTCAGGGTGCTTCTGCAGATCTCCTGTGTATGGATGCCGGTTTATTCAGCCTACACACTAGCCATGTTCTCCTAATTAGTTCCCAGTGTACCCTTCATTAGTGTCGGATACAATCTGCCTCTCTTTGTGGATTAGGGACTCATTGTGACCAAAATTAGAATTGTTATGGTAAATAAGCTATTCTACAGTATGCAGGTTTATAGAAATACTTTAAAAAATGTCTTTGATTTGAAATGAACTCTTGATTTCTTTTGCACCTTTAAAATCGAGTCGTATCTGTGGTAAAACAATATTTTCTTTAAATAGAATTAACACATTTATAAGTAGAAACAATCCTTTGCTTAATCCTCAAGTAGTAAAAATGACTTAAGTAAAAGAAAAGTCCTACAGAAAATGAACCAAAGATCACATGTCCTTGAGGGGTCTGGGCCTAATGGACCACACTGAAATGCACAATATGCTAAAAAGTCAAACGTCACATTTAAGGGGTTGAAGATCACAGTAAAAGAATGGCATGGCATGTTGCATTTATGAGCAGCAGCCGAGAAAATAATTGTGCAAATCACAGCCGAGTTTAAAGAAAGGGAAGAAAGCCTGGTATATGTAGGTCACTTTGTGGATGCTGTGGAACAACACAAAGTAAGCGAGAGACAAAGAGAATGCTAACACAGCCAACCCAGATCACATTCATTAGTGCAGCAAACTGTGAGGGGCTGAAAGTGACTCACAGAAGAGTAAGACGGGGTGGGGGGGGGGGGGGGACCTCTGTGACATTACTGCCTCATTCACTCATCCTTCAGGGAGAGCAAAGGAGGTCAAGGCATTGACCATTGAGGGTACAGAGTTCAAAGTTGTGTGAACCCATAAGAGCAGCATTTACTCCTTTTTACTGATCTTTACAAATGTGGCCTCCCCACTCGCACAAACACATTTGTCTGAACACAGCTCTGGGCACACTCACGCTGTTATTAGGTGTCCATTCTCTTGCTGCCATTAAGGCCACGCTGCCAAAGTCTGCCAGAAGTCCTAATCAGATTTCCCCCTGCTCGTCCCCAGCGAGACATTAAGTCCCTCTCCCATCTGCCGGCTCATCCCGACCTGCAGATCTGCTCCTGGGCTCACTGACTGTCCAACATGTCTACCCGCCTCTCTCAGGTTATTAGGAGCACTGTCTTGTGGAGACAAAGTGCACAGTGGCTCTGCAGCTGCCACGAAGTAAGTTCAGAACCTGCAAGCTAAGCACTCTCTTCCCTTCAGAAGTCACCTTTCAGTCAACTGTGTTGTGCTCCTTCTTTCACGTTTGTTTTGTGGTTCTTTTTAACTCTGTTTTTCATCTCCGTCTGCCTCTCTCCTCACCTCTACCCTCCAAAGCGCGCCCGAGGAGCCCACAGGGAGCCTGAGCAGCATCTGTACCATCCCCATACTCCTTATTAGTCTTGTACGGGCACCTGGCCTCCATTTCGGCTCAGGTAGTATAGACCACCTGGCGGCTGTCAATGTTTTAGAGGTTTTATTATAATAAAAGCTAATGATTCATTTCCAAACTGCACAGAATTCAACAAAGAGGAAATTGAGAATCTGTGGCTATAAGGAAATCCTGCAGGGGAGGTTTTTTTAATCTAATTAAGATGATACTCAATAAACACACCCACACAATACGTCTCCCTACTGTTAGGAAACATTGTATCCAAAACTAAATTGCAAGATTCATAGCAGACAAACCATGCAAAATGTGTTTCTGCCTGAATTTAACAACTGTGTGAAACCTCATGCAGATGCAGCACAATGTAACAAAAGCAAATAAACATACTACTTAATACATCATTTACATTGGAGGTAGCTATTTAATATGGGCGGCAGAAGACACTGAATAAACATGTTTAATGCACACAACTCACCTTTGGTTCTCTGTTCTGTGGCCTGAAAAAAGACAAAACAATTATTACTAAAAGAAACAAGTCTCTGAATAAATAAGATTAAAACAATAAGCACCTTTAATTAAAAACTGTGGCTCTAAACGTGTGCCATCAACATGTTATTTGCCTTGGCTGGCTCCCCAGCTGAACTACAGTGCTGGAGCAGCTAGCCGGGGCAGTTGGAACAAAATGTTCAGGAGCTGTTTTATCTATTGAAATGCTAAAAGGGTGATGTTCATTCACGAGGTGAGCGGGTTCATTGGTCTTGTGGCTGTGAGAAGGAGATGGATAGATAACAAGAATGCTCCTCTCATACATGAGGAAACAGACATAAACATACTTTCACCGGCACTGACCAAAAGGGACTAGGATACATCAAATGCATTACTGGGAACAGCAGGCAAACACTGAAAACAGATGACCCACTGAAGGAAAAAGTGAAGGGGAGGGGAGAGGCGGGGGGCTGCAGGGTGAAAACAAAGATTCAACAACTAAATGAAGTTCTGGTTAATGCTTCCTGTGGAAACACGCATGACAAAATGCATGTGATCCATGTGCTGTTACTTGAGAAAAGAATACCTTAACCCTACTTCAGACCTGTCTTTTGATGTGCACTATGTTACAATTGGAAGTACAGTAAAAGATCGGTGTGCAATTACTTATTTCTTTGTATTGCTAGGTGTTGGCCAAGCAGCATGACCCAAACTGGGGCAGTATCTTACCATTTAGGTTTTGATTCACCTAAATGATTTGAATTAAAAGCGTACAATCTTACCTTTTTCTGAGCAGCTTCTTTCTTTTTCTTCTCTTCTTGCTTTTTCTTTTTCTTATCTTCCATCAAATGGTTCTCTTCTCGTGTTTGTTTTGCTTCTTGTCACAGCTTAAATACAAAGAAACAGAGAGAGGATTAGAATAGTTTCACAAACTCAGGAGAGAGAAGCTTTTCCTCGGCAGGTAAACGCCTGCGAACGTCATTTCTTTACAATTTCTTAGATGCAATGAGACATTTTTGCTCTTAAAGGTGAAATCAGTCGTTTCAATGTGGGCTGTTGTAACACACAGGATCACGTGCTAAATTGTAACAATCACCAGACTGAAGAATGCGGGATTTGTTTTGCATTTGTTTGGCCAATGAGACGAAGCCCCTGTTCTTAAGTTTAAACACCAGCCAGGGCACCCTGACTGTAAACGCCTTTTCTATATCCCATCCAGAGAAGAAGTGTTACAAACCAAAACTCCCTCTCGCTGAACACCACCTGACAGCGCACTGTAACCCTAAGTGCATCCTGCTGAGAGCTTTATCTATTCTAATCCTCTGCACAGAAAAACAAATAAATAACAGCAGGTTTTTTAAGGACTGAAAGAAGAGGAACATGTCTAGAAATATTCCTCACACTTTAAATGTGAAATTAAAACCATCAGCCTTTTCTCCTGCCATGCCTATGCTGCTGCAGGCGACAGCGGTGAGGGCCATTGCCAGGCAACAAGCAATCCCCGAGGCCCAGGTGAGCAGTCAGGTGGAGACGGACAGCGCCTGAAAGCACCGCGCTGAAATCAGTTTGATTGTACAGGTTCGATAATGGAATCAGGAATGCGAGAAGATGAACTTGGGCAAGATACAAAGCTAACGTACAAATCTGAGTTTAAGGTTGATCGATGTAGTCAGGGCTTGGAGCATGTCATGAAAGAGATGGGTCAAGAGAGGGTTTCGAAAGCCTAAAAACAAACAAAACAAAACAATGTCCCTTTCACCGTCCTCTCTAGTCTTTCTTGATCATGACGGCAAATGCAAAAAACGTTCATAAACATAAAATAAACACCAACCATATTGGTAAGAGAATTCAACTGAGCTTCCATTTAGCCATGTTATGATGAAACATGATATTTCACTTATGCCAGAGTTGTGTGAGGTCGTTTCTTATATTGTGGGTTGACAACAAAAGGTTCCCACACCCACATAAATACCTCTGGATTGATCATCTCAGTGACATAAAGTGTAGATGATACTTGACATACAGCATGTTGGGAATATCTAGTAGGCTTTACTTGTTTAAAAGACGTCAGCACTTCCTGTACCACGGGCCGATTTAGCAAGACGCCTAGCCGTGTTGGTGGGGAAATTCCTACAAAATGTCAAGGTCCTCATAATAAAGATCATAAAATACCTCAGTTTTTTTCCGATTTGGCTGAATATTTTTGAATGGTGTTGGGTTGAGGCTGTTCCTGGTTTCAACATGAGTCAGTGCAGTGAAGTTTCCTCAGTCCTATTAAATGTTAGTTAGCAACATTTAAGTATTGTAGATCTTATTACATTGATATTTATAATTGTAATTGCTAATCTGCCAATTAAGTCACAACATTTGCAAGTGAACTGAAGGTATTACATAATGGGAGATCAACAAAACAACAAAATTACTATTTATTTCAATATGGTATAACTTTACTCTGGACTGTGCCAGTTCTTTTTCCAATCTGATCTTGCAGTTCTTGCAGCAAAGCTTAGTGAAAAGCATCCGCCGCCACCATCTCCCAGAGGCCATGGTCACCCTGATCTCAGACTGAGCGACGAGCAAACCGGTAACAAAGGATTACAATAGGGAAGCCTCTCGCTAACTGTCAAGATCAGACCCCACAATATTCATTCATCTGTTTTGATATCATTTTAAAACTGCTCTCATTTGTGGATAGATTGTTTCACAGACACATTCTTTTTTTTAGGGAAACCAAACCAGTGCATTCCAATTGCATTATGTTACATTGTAGGGATGCTCCGATCGCCAATTTTGGGGCCGATCGCCGGAATCAGTATCGGCCGATACCGATCACCGATAGGATCCTGAGTGGGCGGGGCCTATGGGGATCTTCCATTTAAAGTGATGTTTAAAACTCAGTTAATGGGGCTCATTCACTGGTGCTTCCACAAACAACAACCAACATAATTATTACATTCAAATGAAGTACATTATTCAAGTTTACATTAACTTTGGATAATAACACGGGAGAAATGAGCGGAAGTGCTCTCTTTTCCTCTCTCCCCTTCTCTCTCTCTCCTGACAGCCTGTCAATATCTCATGCAGCTCACTGATCCAGTAATGAGTGACCCAACAGTGAAGAATATATATATATATATATATAACTAGTTTAGCTTGTTCCAGAGGTAGATAAAATAGCTAAGTGTGTTAGGTCTAACTCTTAATGTGTGTTCTGCTCCGCTCACCGGTCCGTCACAGCGGGTGAAGCTGCAGGATTTCTGCTTCACACACTTTGCATACCGCTATTTTATTGTCATTTTCGGACACCTTAAAATACTGCCAGACTGGTGAAGCCATTTTGGCGAACTTGTTTTGCCGCGCACAGAGAAAAGTGTCATGTATTTTACATCATAATTTTACGTCATGCGATCGGCTCTCGCGATCGGCATTTTTAGAGAGCACCGATCGATCGGCAGAGAGTGAGTATTGGCCGATATCGATCGGCGCATCCCTGTTACATTGTTAATAAAATGTATTCACATCATTTAAATGGCCAATAAGCACTGTGCAAATCACACTCTAAAAGAAAGCCAAACAACTAACTAAATAAGTAGCAATACATGTTTTAATATATTGGTCAACATAGATGTAATTAAATAAAAAAAAACACCAACCATGGTTGTTCTGAATTAACTGTTCATCAAACAGAATTCAGTAAATACTGGCAATCTACCGGTGATAATTGATCCAAATAAAAATGAGATAACTAGTTATTTCAGCCTAGTTTACACAGTTTCAATCCACTGTTCAAAAATAGCTATGTATTGGCCTTTTAGACTACATCCCTCCTGGCTAGCTCAGCACATGCCGTCATAGTTAGCAGGATCTGCATTCAGCTCATCCCGAAGCACTCCAGGCCTGATGGGTTTAAGAGCAGCAATGAAAAGACGTTGCATGATTAATGGAGCGTCCTCATAACTTCACTGTAGTCCAGATGTGTGAATGAGATTAAGTTGAAGCTGGAATTCCCTTTAACACAAAAACACGCCACCTACACACACCTGTCTACCAATACCCATCATAAACACTTATTTTTAACCTCATGAGGCTGGATATGGAACCTGCTGGTGCAGCTGGCAGGCTAAATATAGCTGGTGCTGCTCCTTTCAAAGGCATCCTCTGGGTTTGTGTCATGTAGGATCATAGGATAAGAAAGATGCTCCAGTTAATGTGAGCCGCTGTCAACCTCCGACCCGGGTGAGGAGGGTGAGGGCAGAGCGAAGCGACAAAATGATTTCAGTTAGGAAACATTGGGTCCCTGAGCAGGACAGAGAGAGGGTCTATCCATGAGAGATGCAAGTCATTTCCAAACATCTGCCTGGCTCGGACAGATGTGTGTCCCCTTAACTGTGGAGGCTGATGGGGCAAGAGGGGAGAATGCAGTGACGGTACCTCCTGCCTATATGGACGCTGCAGCAATTCTGGATATATGAGGGTACTATGTGAATATGCTTGAATTAAAGCTCTATTTAAAAAAAAAATACAGACTTGAAAATAAAGCCCATTCCATGCATCCCTTTTATCAACCGTGGATGGGAAACGTTAATAATTGTTATAACAGAACGTCCTTTCTATAAAGTAATAAACTCACACATAGGTGATGCAGATTACAATGAATGTTTACTCGTAATAGCAGGCTGAGCAGCCGTTTATAGCGGGGAAGCACAGCTCGTGTGGATATGAAGGACGTAGGTCAATGAGCTCAGCTCTGTTGTGGAATTACACCCTCCTGTCAGAACAACAGGATTAGAGCTTGGTGTCCCTCTTAAAACCAGACACTCTGCTGACAAAGGAAGGTAAAAGGAAACAGTCTGACTGAGGAGAGTCCAAGGACAGCCGAATAAAAGCAATTGTAAATCTTTCTGAAAAATTATGTGGAGTTGGATAGGATGGAGAATTGATGTATTGCAGGTGAATTTGTGGACATGTAAATGTTGAATGCCCCAAATTTAAGCTAAGAAGATGAAGGGGCTAGAATTGCTGGGGATGGTTTGTGTATATGTGTGAGAGATGGGGGAAGGGGTGCTAGACGGCAGTCGCTGGGCACAGAGCCAGGAATGCCATCGCTGCAAGCCAAACAAGAGCACGGCGAGCCCTTGGGAGAACGCTCGCTAGCAACCACAGCAGCAGCCGCTACAGCTATGGCAGAATGTGCAGCTCCCTCTGCTCTTCTGCGCAACCGCACAACAAGACTCTGAAAAATATCCGTTATGCCACAGTGTTCAGCGGTGCATAACCTCAAACGCACCACGAAAGTAAAACAAAAACATAACGAAAAGCTAAAGGGCAAATTAGCCAGTAGTACCACCTTTCAAATCGTCGTGTGAAGGTTTAAAAACTGCTGGGTAAGCACTCACAAAGTCCTTGTAGTCTGCAAAGAGGATTGCGCTCTCTAAAGTACTTGAAGCTATTCTCAGTGTGGTCATGTTAATGCTTTCTGACCTGAGCTAACGACAAGAAAGAGAGAGACTTATGCTGCACTCCTGGCACCCTCAACAGGCCCTAAAATAACTCCTGTGGACACACTCCAAAAGCATGGCCTACAGTCCCAATGTCAGTAGTCTACTGCAAAAGTAAAAGGGAAGTCTTTCAGGAACCTGTTGACAACTCTCTTGTCCAGGAGATAAAATAATGTCCCTACCGAATGTCTTTTTAGCCTCCTCACTGTATGTATACATTTAAAATAATCAAGCTTCTGTGCGGAGTAATAGCTGCAGTGAGAACAAGCGTATACTGCAGGTTTGAATTTTTGTAAAGTAGCACCTAAAAATGATAGGGGCAACTTCCTAACCAGCATAAAAAAAACACAGGATGGATGACACTAGCATTTGATCAAACTTACTTTTTCTTTTTTTCTTTTTTACTTCAAGACAGAAGTAAATGTATTGGAAGGCAATAAACTGCTTTTAAAAGAATGCAAGCTCATCATTTCCACTGAGGACTCCAGCTAAGCATCCGATCACTGACACCAAACAACTCGCCAGACCAAATGACACAATCTGGCAAAGTGCCACGCAGCCCTCTCGTCCAGCGCAGTAAAAAGCCATCGAGAGTTTTGAACTCAAAGTGAGGCTATGACCTAAGCCTTATAGTAATCACCGTATTTAGTGGCCTGTTTTTGTTATCAAGCGCCCGTTGGCGCCTCTGTGAATACACACTGCCTCTTTCAGAGGCTTGGGTGCTGACTGGGGCCCCTGACCCAGCAGGGACAGAAAAGACCCCCACCCTCTTACTGCCACCTCTCTTCATCCCTTGCCAGGCTCAGACCCAAATGAGGGACTACAACACATTAGTAAAACCAGCGGGCCACAAAGCTTACGTCAGCCTGCCCTCTACATGCATCAGGGTGCTGGTATTCCCAGTCTGTACACACACTGCTTCCTCCTCAAGGAGTGTGTGCCACTGCAGGAGCTTGAGAGCAGGAGGCGGGCAACTCTGTTTTGTCTCTATGGTGAAGGGAATACAGGAAGCAATCTTAGAAACATCATATCTCACTCTTCAATGGATTCTAATACAGTTTATAAATTAGTAGGCTGTCCTGCCCTGCAACAATCTCAACAACTATACTAATGTCAAGGCAAGAAAAGGCAGTGGTTTCTAAACTCAGCATTTGTATTTTCTGCATAAAAAGTAGCCACTCCATATTTATTGTAAAGTGAAGGCTAACAAACTACTAGCTTAGCAATGATTACATGTATGAGAATGCATGGGAAAGAGATATTCTTAGTATATTAAACTGCAATGCAAACCCAGTGTGGACATGAGAAAAGTAGGTAAACTCAGCTTGCTTTTGCTAATGCGTTTACTGCCTGTCAGGTGATGCATGTTAGATCCAGGTTCTGCAGTACGGAGCATGTTTAGTGAGAATGAGCTACAACAAATACCCATGTCAACTGTACTCCTACACAGCAGTGCAACAGCAAGCGTTCAGCCAATGTCTGCCAGGCTGCAAGCAATAACACAGGGTGCCCTTGAATCACTACAGCTGTGAAGCCACTGTGCTGGTTAGCCCAACTAGTCCAGGTTAGCGAAGAAAAACCCTACAACACCCGTGCTAAGGTCAGTAACCCATGCACTGACTCAAAATAAGAACTGCGGTAAGGAGAACTCGCAGCGAAGAAAACATTGATGTCAAAGTGGGCTGAGCTGTACAAATATTTTCATTCCCTTTCCAAGCTGCCGTATTTAACTTCAAAATCCCGCATATTTCCGAAAGTGCAAAGCGACAAGCTGCAAATTGTGTCGTGCTAAGAGCCCAAAGGGGATTAATAAATCCTACCATGAAGCGTTCAGGAGGTTCTCGTTGGCGGCGGAGCCTCTGCAGCCATTTTGTAGTAACTGACCGGAGCAAGAAGAGACGGTTTAATCGGTGGTAACGGGGGGAGGGGGGAGGAGCTTCACTTTGCCACGTGACCTTCAATAACAAAACAAACTGGTCCCACTTCACCGATGCTCCGCCCCACGGCGTTTCCATGACAACTGCAGCCCCTCCATCACTCCCCTCATTTGTTCTTCTCCAGTTTGCAGATGTGTGGCTTGTTTAGGATGTATAGTTGAAGAAGTGTACCTTAAACTACGTTAAAAATGAATTGTCCTATGGGGATGAATATCAGATAAATCAGCCTGCAGTTTTTGCAACATGGAGTTATGTTTTACTCCAATAGAGGGCACAGTTTCCACTATAAACTGTGCTGCTGTTGTGGTGGCAGTTTTTTAAATGTATGACACATTATGTGTCAGCTTGGTGTCAAATCAGTGGTAAGAGGTAATGAAGTCAAGAAGGCTACTTACATTAACTTTCATTTGATAGAAACTCCACATTTCAGAGGAACCTATTGAACTTTTTTTTTTAAAGGACGTACACTTTATTTGGTTATTTCTAACATCACATCTAACCTACTTTTTCAAAATAAAATAATAATATTAATATTTACCTTCCACTGACTCCTGCCTGTCATTTATATCTTCGTGCTATGTTATGTTTTGCTATGTTGATGCAACGTGAGAGCACCATGAGCCGTGTCACTAGCGGGTTGTAAAGACCTCTGTAACAATGTTGAGACTATTTATTCTCTCCTCTCGCTTAATCCTTTTAGGGTCATCCTTGGCTGGAGGGTATCCCAGCCCGGGGCAGCGTAGACACCTTATATGTCAACATAGCCTACATCACAAGGCTTAGGCACAGTATGCATCGCACATATATCTTTGTAATACAGTGAGGAATGGAGCAATGGGGGGAAATCCTTGTGAGGTTATGAAAAGGACATGGTGGAGTAGTCGTGTCTCCCGTGTCCAGTGTATGACTGCACCTGCATGTGGCTTGACATGTTCTTGGATCCATCCTGTATATATATATTAGCAACCCTTTTACCTAAATATGTCATTCTATTTCTTCATAGTGTCATGTCACTGATGTTGTTTATAGGAAATCTACATGCTTGTATCTCTATCTGTGCTGCAAGAGGCATCCCTAATCTTCATTGTCCTGAGGTTTCCTCCCTTTTTCCCTCCTGTCAAGACGGACATTTAACAAACTCATTCGAGAGGAGAAGGCCAGAGGGTGTCTTTTCTTATACAGATCATGAAGCCCATTGTGGCGAGTTTGTGACTTTGGGCTACACAAATAAAATTGACTTGACATGAGAACAACTTCATGAACTTCACTGAACATGTTTTTTGCCGGCTGTGAGACAAACAAAAAAGTACAAAATATATCTGCTGTCACAAGAAAGGATGATGGTTGGGTTTTTGAGTGCCTTGTCATGTTTACTGATTATGTATATTTAAAATGTGTCAACAGGTAAAACAAAGAAATCTTGGAAAGTCAGTACCCATCAAGTTCAGAATTGTTTTCAATACGCTAATGATAAACCCATACAATCAATTTCCCAAGTCAATATTTTGGTCCCTTTAGAGAGAGGAATTCCCTCCGCATGGCTGACTGGAAACCTTATCTCCACCATCGAACTGAGGACAAATAAATAGGATTGTAGTGCATGCTGGGGCAACATGTCATCACTCAATGAGCCAGATCTGGAGTTGAATAAATACCCTCATTAGCAGACATGGATGTCCACTGTAAATGAGACTCCAGTGACATCTGATAGGGATATGATTCTGGAAACATCAAATGGTGAACACCCACAAGAAATGACTATGAATCTGATTACAGAGCAGGGTGATCACCACCGTGTGCTCGCAATTACACAACCATCTGCACTGGGTGTTGCGGGCATATGGAGTATAGTGTCACCCACATCTGGATAATCGGGGGGATATACATTACAGTGGCGGTGGCAAAACACAATTATTCATTCTACAAGATGATGGAGTGCACGGGGAGTGTGTGTGTGTGGAGAGGAGGGGAGGGGAGGCACTAATCACACACTGTGGTGATGAATCTTCTGTGTGTCAAAGCAGTAGATAGATTACCTGGCTCCTTTTTAAACTTTGATTGATTCGTGTGTGTGTGTGTGTGTGTGTGTGTGTGTGTGTGTGTGTGTGTGTGTGTGTGTGTGTGTGTGTGTGTGTGTGTGTGGTGGTGTGTTTTAAGATCTTGCATTTCTTTTTCATTTTAGCTGAGGTTGTTGCCATTTTCAAGGGTAATGTGGAAAGTATTACTGCTATAAAGTTCCATCTTTTTTTGGGCCTTTCTGTAAAGTCAGTTGTTGTCTGATTCAACCTATCTCATATTGATGTTTCCTCTTTACATTATGTTGCTGCTGATGCTGTTAAACTGAGATTGCCATATTACACTGAATACAGATTACTATCCTGGTTGTTAAAGTGAAGTGGACTGTGACCGCTGTAGTCAAGGTATATCATTTAATGTGAAGGAGAAGAGATTAAAGAAAACTGGTTCAAAGGTAGTTGTTCTCTTCTTCATTGTATCTCTATGAAAAAGTATTTTGTCCCTGACAATATAAAATCTTAGAAAGAAAGGAGCTCATTGTTTGCAGCTACAATGCAGGTGCAGTTGAAGGCAACTTAGTTCAAACTGTATTTAATTTGCATTGTCATTCAATCAATTTACACTTGTTTCCTTTTTAACCAATTTAACGCCAAAGAAAAACAACTCCTGTAAATGCATTTGCTTCTCCCAGCATTCTGTCTAATTAATTGTTTTAAATTGTCCACCCTAATTTCCTTAAAATTGATATCATGAATTAATTCGCACATAACTTCTTATCTTATCGTACATCTGTAACACTCCTGACATCATTTTTGTGGGTGAATGCTAAATAGATGTTTGGAACATGGATGAAGTATAGTCCTTGGCAGCAAATGTCAGGGAGGTAGGATGTGAATGTAGATTGTACCTATACTGATATTGATATAAGGCAACTGTGGAAATGTTCACAAACTGCCTGACTTTATTAAAAAGTTTACAAAAAGAAGAAAAGAGCAAGACAGTTTTTTTTACCCCTGAGTGAAGAGAAGTAAATCTGACCTTGACCTTGTCTCCACTGTGGACGTTAGCAGCATTGATCCGTGCACGCAACCATTCGATGTGAATTGGAGGAATTCAATTATGACCCTGTCCAGCTGACCTGTCTGGCAGAGGTTAAAGTTCAATGGTCAGATTGTTACCGTATCCACCCGACCCTGTGGGAAATGCAGGTGGGGCAATCAAAGTGACATTTAAAACCGAGGAGGAGGAGAAATCAGGTCTGTGAGATCCCCCAGGAGCAGAGAGGCGTTTATATTGATTGAGTTAAAGGTATTACTCATGTGTGCATGACACAAATGTCATGCACACATAGAGACGGGTACACATGCTGCCTCAATAGGCTGACTTTTAACAGTTACGTAACAAGATATACATAATTTGCTTATTTAATGCATAAAATATCCATGCTAAATGTTAAGTGTGAGCTTATTGTACTGTAGTTACATTGTTCGATTTCCCAGTAAACACTTCAAAGCTTGTAGTGTATCTGGTACTCCACAACATTTATTTAAAAAATATACCTAGGCAGGGGTTAATTTCTCAGAATAAGTAGGAAAAGGAAGATGTTTGTGTTCGGAAGAGAAATTGAGGAAAGTAAAGAATGAAGTGAGAATGTATCTTTTTCACACAGGAAATCACACAGGAAAGGCTCTATACCATAAATGCACTTAATACATTATTTATAATAATACTATAAATAATCAACAATTCACACTTAGCAGCGGTTCCATAAAACCTTGTTCAGACAAATCTCTCTCTTTCAGCATCTTCTGTCATGGATGTTTACACTAAGATTGTGTACACTACGTCTGAGTGATACATCATCATGCTTCACTCCATCGATGATAGAAACAGAGATAATTGATGGTGCTCTGTAGATAATCAGCTGTGAGCTGCGTGGGTGGGCATCAGCTCCCCATACAGACTGTGTTGCTTATGCAGAGCGGCACTCAGCGCTAATCAGATTTATTGTATGCATAAACATAACCGTGTGCCTTTATAGATTCAAACCATTTGATTCACAATGAAGCTTCAGCAAACAATCATGTGGCTTTTTTTACATGCTTGTTTCTTTTTTAAATAGCTCCACTCTTTCGTAATTCTCTCTTTCTCTTTATTTTCAATATCTTTTCTTCTGCCTTTCCTCTTATAACCAACATTAAGTTGTCTTATGTATACTCAGTAAAGCACACACAGATAAATAAGAAGCACATCTCTCCCACAGAGAAGACAACAGGAGAAACAGTTTCCATGCTTTTTGTCATCCTTCAAAGTCAGCAAACACGACACCTGCCAAGGTCACGCTGCTGTTTGAGGCGGGGGTGGAGAATGGTGCATGTGTCAGGGCGCTGAAAGTGTCACCCCACCAACAGCTATGATTGTTCCTATTTTCATTTGAGATGAGATTAAAGTCCTTGGGGGCAGAGATATCAATCTGTGGTAACATAATGAGTCTTTTCTAGTGTGCAAATAGACACTTGGGCCAACAACGGTCAGGGTCGATATTTTCCTGCCACTCATAATTATATGCACAGAGAGCACAAAGTAACAACGGGAGACAGAGAAGCAGTATTTTACAACACAAAAAAGAACATGTGTTTGTAAAACATTTAAGATAGTTCAAATTAACAACAGCATCACACAGAATCTCTGTGAGTAGATCAATACAGTAAGGAAATAATGCTGTAAACACTGCATAACTTAGTGCTTCCATACTATTGGGAGCACAGAAGTGTTGGATGGAATAATACTGATGCCACACACACAAAACACACACACACACACACACACACACACACACACACACACACACAACACACACCACACACACCACACACACACACACACAACACACACACAACACACACACACACATCACACATCACCACACATCCACACACACACACACA